TGTGCTTGATTTTCATATGATGAAGACATAATCCTTCAATCAGTTTAATTGAGGTCTGGAGCTGGCATCTCAGTAACTGCTAGTAGTACTTTGTTAACTTATGTTGATCATTGTCATTTTACTTAGTTTCTTCTGTTACCAATTCTAACATCTGACTCGGACTTTTTTTAAAACTGAGTTTTACTGTGTGTATTGCTGTGTGTTTGTTTTTAATCTACATTGGCTAGAGGTATAGGGGGAAGGCTGAGATCTCACAAAACATGTTTAACCCCGCGGCATTTTTGCGCCTGTCCCAAGTCAGGAACCTCTTGCCTTTTGTAAGTCTTGTATGTTTTTTTTTTAATTTAGGTCTTATGTTGGATACAAAGATCTTGTTGATGAACGATGTCTTCAAGGTGCTGGTCAATTACCGTCTTATGGACATTGATTTTAGAGTACGGTTAAGATGTGAACCTTGGCGCAGCACCTTTTGTATTTGGTGTAACATACGATTCGAAGTTGAATCCGGGATCGTTCTTGATCTTGCTCATCTCTCTGATAAATGCAGAGAATTCCGTGAAAGGCAGAAAAGCAACTTCGTATTTGGACTTGTATCTTGAAGCCCTTGTTATCCACTTTTTTTGGAGTCCATATGACAATTTTGCCACAATTAGGTTTATTCCAGACGAAGAGTCAAAATAAGCAAGCAAACATCCCAGCTTGGGATTTTCTTTGTGATATTCTATTTCTGAGATAATAACTGACAATTCTTAAAGAAGTGAAATGTCCTTATTGGTCAATTTTGGAAAGTTACCAAGTTTACTCATGATAGATGCCTCCAACATTTCAGGAGCACCATACCGCTGGTCAAGTCTCTGCCATAATCTTTGTATTCCTCTTGTTAGGTTGTTGGCATTTGATGCCCTCATGCTTTTTGCATGTTTGGCGGACTCTGATCCAAGTCACTTAATCAGTAGGTCTATCTGTTCCGAGTCTGAAAATTGTAATTCGTCTATGACGTTCTTGAAACTAGATTTCTATGTGTGTAAGGATTCAGGCCGGTCATTAAAGTTTGTTAACCGGGAGAACAGCAGGTTCTTACGTAGGAGAAATCTGGTTATCTCCAATGTCGGGTGTGCAGCAGGAATTTCCTCTGAAACGCCTTGTTTTGGTGTGCAACAGGGATATCCTCTGAAACCCCCTGTTTTCGTATGCTAGTTACCGTTCCAAGATCTGGAGACTTAGCATCTGCAGGCAAGATAGCAGGTGTTTGTGATGGCAACTTGAATGCCATTGAAGGCACGAACTCTGGTGCTTCCTGACTTAGTGTATCTACAACAGGAGTTTGTTTTTTGTCTTGTGGGCCTGTCACTCCCTGTACACCAGTTAGGTCAAGATGTTTATTATCGAAACTTGCACACGTCGGAGCGGATCTTAAGTCTCGCTTGGAAGATCGTCTAACGCTTGGCTGTCGTCGTACTCTAGTATACGAGCCTCGGCTTCTGCGGCTGCAGCTTTTCTCTGTGCTTCGAGAAGGTTCAAATTGGCCTTTAGTTACTCTTTTTCCCGGCTTACATGTGCAGCCTCTTGATCCATTTAAGCTTTACTGTGTATGGCCTCTTGTTCTAGTTGAGCTTTTCTTTGTGCGGCCTCCTCTTCCATTTGAGTTTTCAGGTATGCGGCCTCTTGGTCTATTTGAACTTTTCTTTATGCAGCCTCTTGTTTCATTTGAACGTTTCTTTGTGCAGTCTCGTTTTCCATGAAAGCTTTTTTATGTAAGGCTTCTTGTTTCGCTCGAATGTCTTCTTTCTCCATTTTGGCCTTGATTTCAGTTTGTCTGAACAGAGCCTGTTCCTCTAATATTGCCTCCTGTTTAAGGATCAGGGCATGTCTTTCGGCAAATGCTTTTTTTGATTTAGCAGCCTCTGCTTTGGCACACTTCCTCCGTGCTAGGCTTGACATGTCAGAACAAAAGAGCTTCTGCTGCATGAGGTTTTCTTACCCTTCGATGTCTTCGTTTTAGTGGATTTAGCTTTTGTCAGGGCGAGGCGATACTCGTGTAATGTTTCCATTGCCAGGTCAGCTTTGGTCAGTCGAATATCTGATAAAAGGTTAAACAATAACCGACGATTGGGCTCAAGCAAAAAAAGACTATCAGGTGCTAATACTTTAATCATGAATCCATATTACAAATGGTAAAAAAATGAAAATACAAAATGAAATACAATTTAACAATGTGTTGACTTAATGTTATATAAAGGCAACAGTAGTATACCGCTGTTCGAAACTCATAAATCGATAGAGATAAAAACAAATCCGGGTTACAAACTAAAACTGAGGGAAACGCATCAAATATAAGAGGAGAACAACGACACAACAAAAACACAACATTAAAATGTAACACACACAGAAACGAACTATAATATAACAATGGCCATTTTCCTGACTTGGTACAGGACATTTTAAGAAAAAAATGGTGGGTTGAACCTGGTTTTGTGGCATGCCAAACCTCCCGCTTTTATGGCAACGTCAAACACAATTACAATTATAATGTACGAAATGTATATAAATATGAATAATAGTACAGTCCATTGAACACGAAATAAGGTTGCAATTATAAAAGTTAAATTTCCGGTTAATCACGGATAAAGAGTTCAAAAATATGATGTACGGTTTGAAGGCATCAAATACAAAAAATATTAATGTAACTCAACAAATTGTGTCCAAGATGACGTTTGTCCTAAAATGTTTCTCGGTTATGTAATGACCTTGCAGTTCCTGTTCGAGATACGTGTGAGAAAAGGAACAGGTAACAGTAATTTCGATTTGTTAATGTTTTACACAGGTATAAGATGTATAAACCTCCTAGGTTAGGAACACATAAATTGATTGTGAAAATAATCAAACAACCAATATAAATTGAGGATCGAGGTAACAGAATAATGTCTATGTGGCAACATTCCAGCAGCGCCTGTATATGGAGTATATATATATTTCAGTTGATACGATACAACAGATCTTGCGTTTCCTATCATGCTTTTTTTCATGTTTTTTGCTGCTTACAAGATTGAACCAAGGGTTCCAAGTGATAAAGTTAAAGTCATCCCTTCGAATATTTTACAGAACATATCACAAGTAGGTTGACCGTTATGGAATATCTGTGTCACAGATGACAATGAATATTGCCCAACTGTCGAAACAATCTCGTCCTCTTTTTTATGAATGACATATAACCGAATTTGCAATTATCATGAGCAGCATGACCGGAGCCACAAGTGGAGCAGGATCTGCTTACCATTTTGGAGAACTTAATCACCCTTAGTTTTTTTTGTGGGGCTTGGGTTTCTCAGTCTTTAATTTCCTATGTAGTGTTTTTTTGCACTTGTTCGTCTTTTCATCGTCTTTTGTTCTTTGCCAAGGCATTGTAACATTTTTTCGACTTAACTGTTTTGAATGTCCCCTTGGTATCCTTTGCTTTTTTTTCTTATATAATTAAATGTTTTTCGGAGAGAAAAAAATTATCACAAGTTTATTTGCTGCAATTCATATAAAGCCTTCTTGTGTAATGGAAAGTTAAATATGCAAGATATACCTACTTGAATTTAGATTAATTGATAATTATAGACGACTTGTTCCTGTATTGTTATGAATTACAGTTGATAGACAAACTCAATAAAGATCCGTCTAAATTCGATAAGATCAAACAGTAACCGAAACCTGGTGATAATTTTGCTTAAAATCAAGAATTTTCTAACCATACCTAAAGGGAATTGATTTAAAATAAATCAAAGATAAACAGCTATAATTGTCTTTTTCTAGATTTGGATATTACAGTTTAACTTGAGAATCTATATACAAATATTTATTTATAAAATCATTCCCTATTGTGTATATTTCCCAACTCGTTCGTTTACATGCTCGTTTGTTATAATTAAGAATTTTATGAACGTAATCTATATATTACTGGTTAACTATTAAGTCAGGGGTTTTGTTTTTCAACAAAACTGAAAATGCTTACAACCTTTACTAAATTTTTTTCTAGATACAAATATTTGGCTAATAACTGTGGCTTAGCTGTACCTGCAGAAACCTTATAAAACGGGATATCACATTCTAAATTTTACAGAGCCCTTACTTTTAGATTCCTTTTATTTAACCTTATTTATCCCTTATATATAATTATACTTAAAGGTTATAACTTGGACACTACAGTTAGATCCTTGAATATTTGATTTATCGATACTAACATTGATTTTGTTTTTAATAAACCAAAACATAACTTTTAAACATGTATGACTAAACAGTTATAAGTTATATTTTTATTTCAAGTTGATAATACTTATAATTTATCGGATTACTCACATCTTTTAAATGAGCTTTGGATTTTCAAATATTTTGGCCTCGAACATCACTGAAGAGACATTGATTGTCGAAATGCGCATCTGATGTAGAAAAATTGGTACCGTTTATCTTATTAACAATGTCATCTTCTTCGCAGACTGATTGGCATACTAAGTTATTTGGGTGTGTACTGATTGATACTTTAGTCCGGGAAAACATGATCTATTTATGAGTCGCAATTGACTTCGAACTAACTTTCAATAACTGCGAGTACTGTGATAGGCACGTTGTGTCTTTTGTCCTATTGTTATCATTTCATATGCTTTTTGATGACCTGATCTGAATTGTCTGTTCTTATGTTGTGCTGTTACACACTGTTCCAGGTAAGCGCCCGTAAAAATGTTAAACGATGTTCAAATCTCATAAATCGATTAAGAAGAAAAATCAAAGTAACAAACAAATCACGAGGGAATCGCATGAACCCCAAAAGGAGCGAAACTGTGTGCGTTGACAGAATATGCGTTCTCATACCATGCATACATCATTGGATCGACGAATTTAATCTAAGACTATAAATGTTTTAGGGTTTTAATGGAACCCAAATTTATTTGTTTTACTCAAAAATATTATGCCAAATAACTTATTTCAATAACAGAGATTATGTAATTAATATATTTCAGAAATTCCTAGGATCAAAGGATATTATCTATACGTATCGGACTCATTTAGTGATGAGAATCCAAATTCTGGACATGAATGCTATCACTACCCAATGAGTGGTCAATTGCCAAACACAATACAGAATAAAACTTGTGACTTGACTGGTAGATATGTAGTGTACTACAATGAAAGGGATGGGATAGAAACCTATGTAGAACTTTGTGAAGTAGAAGTCTTTGGTAAGCTTGTGGGGATTTTTAAAATGTTCTTCAATACTTTTGTTTTATTATTTGAGTTGTTCAACATTAAAAAAATCACGTTTATCTAATAAATGTCGCACAATGAAAAGGTTTTGGTGTTGAAATAGCAATACAAATTGGTTTAAAGGGAAAGTATAGCCCAACCTGTATCTGGTGCATAATATTATTTTCATAATAAGCTTCAAATTCAACAAAAATCAAAAAACTTTATTGAGATTAAGTATAAAAGTTTAAATCTTTTCAAAATGTCCGTCTTTTTATGTTGCTCAGTCTTCAGTTTTCTGTGTTGTGTCTTATATACTGTTGTTTCTCGATTTTTTGTTGTTGTCATGGTACTGTCAGTTTGCTTTCCACTAATGCATTGGAATATCCCTTTGGTATCTTTCGCCTCTCTATTGATTACAATCTAATATATATATAAATACGGTTGGAAGACAATATTATATTTTTTATAAAATGCTATAATTTGATTTTTTTTACAATTTTTTACAGTTATATGTTTAAAAAGATTTGGAGAGATATTGAATAATTTGGAAAAAAAAATTATTATAGATTATCATTATTAATTATAACAAGAATGAATATTTATTTTTTGATCTCATTTATAGTTAATAAGCAAATTGTGTATGTCTACTTAAATCTAGAGATGCAAAGTGACACCTCACATGTTGAAGTGATGTGATATAAACATAAGACAAACTTGACCAGATGAGATAAGGAAACACAAAACAATGGACATTTTGTGGTAAGGTGCTTCTTGTGTGATCTCTTCTCTTTTGCCTAAATTATTATTTTCATTATTTTATGTATAAATCTAATTCATTAATTATAAGTCTGTAAATATGGTGTTTAAATATTGAGATGTAAGTACAGATTATTTTCAGATCATTACAAAACTTAGTCTGGCCTAAATTTTATCTAAAAAAAATTGAGTTATCTCCCCTAGAACACAAATGTAAATCTGCATTAAGATAAGAAATATCTTAGTTTCATATTACATGTTTTAAATGTGCTTCATTTTCTTTTGTTTTTGTTTATTTTATGTATATATTTATTATAAAACATGGATTTCTGGTATTTCGCACAAATATGATATATTTTTTCAGGAAGTAAAATATTATGAAAGCAGTACTGTTGTCTCGCATGAACTATTTTTTTCTTTGTTTTTACAAATATCATACTTCAGAGTTGAAGAACAAATATCATGATGGAGGGAAAAAACATTAAAATAATGTCCTATAATTGTCAAGGACTTCACATGAGGGAAAAACGGGGAGATATTTTTGATTATATTTAAACATATATTGTCTCCAGGATACACACTTGGTAGAACAAGATGAAGTTTTGATAAAAAAAAAAACAATGGAAAGGCCATTGTGTTTTTAATTCATTTGATTAAAAAAAAAACGAGGAGTTGCTATTCTGTTTCAAAATAATTTTGACTATAAAATACATAAAGTTAAAAAAAAGATGGCAATCTGGTGGGATTGGATCTTAACATTAAAGACAAGAGATTTACTCTGATAAATGTTTATGGGCCAAATGTTGATACTCCCTGCTTCATTGACAAATTAACAGAAATAATAGATATCTTTGGAAATAAACTTTGTATTATTTGTGGGGACTTTAATATTATTCAAAATTTCAACCTTGATACCCATCACTATATAAATATAAACAATCGAAGATCTATAGAGAAAATTTTAGAAATTATAGAATATAGAATCTTGTCGACCCATTTAGAGAAATATACCCTGATATTAAACGATTTACATGGAGAAGGGAAAACCCTTTTAAACAATCTAGATTTCTTTTTAATTTCTGAAAGCCTTATAGATGACATTTGTGAAGTAAACATTGGTAATAGCTACAGGTCAGATCATTCACCAGTGATTTTGACTTTAAAAATAAATGAATTTATAAAAGGCAGAGGCCTCTGGAAGTTTAATAACTCTCATCTTCAAGATCCTGAATAAGTAAAACTAATAAAACAACAAGTTACTAACACAGTTGAGCAATATGTAATGCCAGTGCAAAGAGGGAATGCTTTACATGGTATTGATAATTTAGATATTCAATTTGTAATTAATGACCAATTATTTTTGAAGACCTTCTCCTTGAGATTAGAGGTAAGACTATTTCTTATTCAACATTTATAAAAAGGAAAAGGATAAAACAGGAAATCCAGCTGACTGATGAGATACAAAATCTAGAAACTATAGAACATTTACTTTGGGGTTGTCATATTGTAGCCGACATTTGGCACAAACTGAATTCTTGGATTTTCGATATAGTTCATATCGAAATTCCACTAAATTTGGATATTGTCATTTTTGGCCTGTATGAAAATTATAAATTGAATTTTATCAAAAATAAAGTTATTTCACTGACAAAGTACTTCATTTACAGATCTAAGATGTAAGATATAAAACCTCATATAAAAGGACTTCAAAATCACATAAAAGAAAACTTGATTTTAGAAAAACTTATTTCCTCAAAATATTTAAGTGTGGAAGAACACAACTTGTACTGGAACCCCTGGGTTAAGGTCACTGATTAAATTTTAATGGGGTAAATCCATATACATATGTGTGTATATGAGTATTTGAAAGTATATGTATACTGTTATACCATATGCATGTACATATATGTTTTTGCACTACTATTACTACTATTATTATATTAATGAAAATGTTATTACTATACTGAATCCATAGATTTCATACTGTTATACCATATTGTGCTTATTATGCTTATTTATTTCACCTGCTTGATTATTGTGCCACGAGATAAATATTTGTTGATACCTGTAAATTCATGAAGGAAAAAAAATAATTATAAAAAAAAAAAAAAACAACAATGAATACTTTATCAATTCAAATTGAGTGATTGATTATAATATATTCATGGTAATCTTGTACATGACGAAATCATAACTTAATGAGCAGTTGCTGCAGACTGCTTTTGAACAACAACAACTCCAACTAGCACCGCAGATATTTTTCACTAACTTTTAAATAGCTTTCCCAAAGTCCTATTCCGGCAAACCTGCATTTCATAATGCCTCTTTTAGAAGCTGCTTTTTTCGACTATTCTTAATGCATCAGGAGAAAGACACCAAAATTGATTTGCCACTGCCATCAAAGACACAGACGATCGCACTGGAAAGACGTGCAGCAGTTCTATTCCTTGCCCACCAAAGCTAGTTGAAGGCGTATGATTTACTTCACGTGAAGACGCTGTAAATCTTGATAATGAAACGATAGCTTCTCCCGACTTTGTCACCGAGTACTAGTGAGAAGGTAGCAACCATCAGCAAAGGAACCACTTCAACAACGGACCTCGCACCCGACAACCACTAAGAAGGATTGCACAGCAAATCCAAGAAGGAGAGTCGACAGTAGTGTCTAGTGTATTTTATTTAACGTTAACAAAATTATTTGAATCACTGTGCAGTTTTTTTTTGGTTCAAATTCTTGTATTCACTTATTACACGTATATTTCTGTATATATTCTTGTGGTAAGTGATTTGCACATCTTTTTTGTTTCACCTGGCCTTACTTGGTGTACGTCGTCGTCCGTCGTTCATCATTAGTTGTAAACGTTTTTTTTTTTTTATCTAAATCTACTAGGGTAAATGTTACCAAACTTTACCTGAATGTTTCATTTAAGTTTTGAAATCTAGTTTAAAAATTGTATCCGCGAATTTGATACATCAAGAAATATGGGCGTTGAAAACTGAAAATTATCAGCAGGTCAAGGTCTATCTCCAATAACATTTTCAGATACATAGGACAATCTATTTTGGAGTAAAGGCCCCTGAAATGTCAACTTTTTTGCAAAGGTTAAAATTTTCATCTTGAAAATTATAATAGATAGAGAGTTTTTAACCAGTAAATTTGACCTGAACAATAAGATTTAAAAGTCAACATGAACAAACAATCAACCCCTTTTAGGATTTATTGTCATTGAAAGACGATTTTTACCTATTTTACATTTTTTGGGCGAATACTATAATCGATAGATAAAAATTGTGAAAGCAAGAACAATCAGCAAACAAGATTTACAAATACGCCTAAGCCAAGAGGGCAAAATCGTCAATTGAAACTTTATAGGAGTTATTGTCCTGGAAGATGATTTTTGTCTATGTTTGCAGAAATGATAATTATTAAATAGGGAAAAACTGTAATAGCAAATTGTAAATCAAAATATGAACTACAATTAAGTCAAGATGGCCGAAATTCTTCATTGATCCTTATACGAGTTATTGTCCTTGAAACATGTTTTTTACTTATTTTTTTACAAAAACCATAATAGATAGAGAGATATTGTTATTATGAAGATGTCCAGCCCAAAATGATTTAGAAGTAAGTCAACATTGCCAAGTGGTAATATTGAAGAAATAATTTTCCACATTTTATTTTGTTTTTGAGCAGAAAGATATAGATTTTTTTTGCAAAATAAGAACCACAAATAAATCAACATGTTCGAAATCGTCAATTGACCTTTACATGATTTATTGCCCTTGAAAAATAATTCTTACGTTTTTTTTTGGCAGAAACTATAATAGGTAGACAGTAACAGACAATAGCAAAAATATTAGACACAATAAGAACTACAATTAATTTAACATTTCCGAAATTGTCAACCGATTCCTTATGGGAGTTGTATTCCCTGCAAGATGATTTTCATCCAATTTTTGCATTTTGGTTAAAAGAGTATAGAAGCTAGAGAGAAACTTTAAAAACCAAACAAGATCTATAAATAAGTAAACATAGCTAAATTTTCAGATTCCTTACAGAATTTATTGCCCTTAATGACGATCTTTCACTCATTTATATAAGTTTGCCAATTTTTCTCGAAAACTTTAATACGTAGGTATAACTGTAAACAATAAAAAATTACCATCAATACTAGATCTACAAAAATATCACTAGGTAAGATTTGCAAATAAGCAAACAAAACTGATTACACTAGGGTAAAAATAAATACCAAGATGGCATAGTGTTACCAGGTGAGCGATTCGGGCTCTTGGGAGCCTGTTGTTCTTTATATTATCTAACAGTGTTTAAAAGTATTTGTGCATTTCTTTACTTGATTTTGGATGATGAAAAAAGGCTAAAGATACCAAAGGAACATTAACAACTCGTAAGTCGAATAAAACTGACAACGCCATGGCTAAAAACGAAAATTAGAAAAGACGAACAAGTCCACAAAACACTACATAGAAAACTGAGCAACACAAACCCCACCAAAAGCTGTTGATTAACGTCAATCATTTGCTGAATCATATTAAACCAATGCCCTTGTTTAAAGAATTATTCCTGTGCATATATATGTGTTCAGAATATTATTTGTTGTTTTATGAATAATGTTTCTGCTTAATTTAATGATTTAATAATGCAATTTCTCCATTAGTGCTTTCTAGCGTTTCTTTTTCTCATAGACTCTTTCTGATATTATGTATTCCACTGTTGATGTACATGATGTTAGAACTTTTTGATGACATTTTTTCCCTAAAATTTTGACTTCTATTTCATCTGTCAGATCATTTGTTGATTTACGATTTATGAAGGAATTAATTTATATTGGATTCACTGTATATGTAATTACAGGTAAAGTCACTAGTCCGAATTACATAATAATAAGGTTTCTCTAACATGAAAAAATTTAATTGAATACGAAAATATCAAATGTGGAGAAGCGTGAACATTTCATAGAAGTTTCTATATAATATGAGTTCCAAATAAACAAAAAAAAATCTGGAATATTGTTTCCACTGGAAGAAATATTACAGTATTTTTTTCCTGACGGAATAAATGGTATAGAATATTTGTTCAAACAGGAACAGATATAATAGCATTGTTTATAAAAAAAAATCCAAACACTCCCTCTAATCAACAATTTCTTATTAGAATAAAAGCAGGATGCAATGTTTCTAATAATATTATAACATATCAAATTATTCATAGCTCATAAAATAAATCTAAGAAGGCTATTATATCATATTTAAAAATATGCAAATACAATTGCAATAGTATAAACATATTAGAAAATTGAATTTAGCTTCATAATAAACTGTGTTTTTATTTTTCTGAATAAAAGCTATTCTCATAATACATGTAGTTCTAAACTTAGGTTTTGGTGCAGCTAGATAAGAAAATCTCCACGGATAGGGTTTGGAGGAATCATTGGGGGGTGGGGGGCTCAACATACAAATTAGAGTACAGCTGTGATGCTGGGATTTAAACCCCCCCACGAAAATCCCCACCCATTCATATACTTCATAGAACAATCACAACCAATTTATATATATTTCTCAGCTATTATGACATCTTACTTAGACATTAAACCACGTGGGATCATTCATATTATTAGATAAAAAGATCAGAACACAGTTTTTTCAGACATCTTTATAGAAGATGTACATTTATGACCCATTGACATGTAAATTCCTACCCATTGATATAATACTTCCGTGAAATTTCACCCCATTGCTGTCTTTGACATTACAAAAAAGTAACCCATACCAGCGGCACGTATGTGTTTACCATTGTATAGGAAGACTCCCTTCGTGAGAGGAATAAATATTTTGCTTTAGTTTTGTTCTTTTGAGAACAACAGGTGTAAGTAAGAGGTTGTGGAAATATATTTTTTTTCGCATATCGTTCCTAGCCATGATTCAGTACATATTATAATAAAAAACTTGTACATACGTAAAGTAAAAGGTGTCAGACCACCAATTCATTCCCTCCAGGTGCTTTTGATGCATTGTTTACTTAAACTAACCAACAAATTTGCAGACATGAACATTTTGGTGAAAGAGAAATATATTTAGATCATTTTGAGCTGGAATTTACTTGTCTATGGGTTTGTATTAAAAATTGAGGATTTATGCTTTCCATAGTATACTAATTTAAGATTTCCAGAAAACCAGGGGTTATTTTCAGTAGTACTTGACTTCCAAAAGGCAGTTCTTTCTTAGAAGGCTTTAAACATGGGTTGAAAATTGGCATTTAGAAAGGTGATACATGTACAATTCAGGATACACTTGGTTTCTAGGAAGTTAAACTTAAGGTAAAATATTAAGAAAGCTGTGAAAATTGAAAAATTTGGTTGAATAGATAGGGATTTTGAATTGGTGGTCTGACACCTTTAAAGCGAAAAGCGGTGAACCAAAAAATCAGAAAAACAATTAATTTTTTGTCTTAACTGATCATTTGAAATGCAAATAGCCACATTTCAACCTTTTTCTGGCAAAAAAAAGTCACATATTGCAAAATGAAAGCCTTAATCCTGAATTTGTGCCATTTTTAGCTTTTCCCACCCTTACAATAGGCATTCATATAAAAAAATGTCTGAAATTGTTGTGAATGCACAGTAAGTTGTTTCTGTGGTATTAAACATTAAAACATAGGTTGTTTACTACCAAAAAAATTGTAGTCATGAAGATTTTATGAAATAATTTGATTTTTACCCATTATATCATTGCGTCATTCCATATATTTAACAGATAGCATAGCCTTATGTAAACACTGCATAAACTCATCCCAATCCCATAAATTGTCTCAAATGAAAGTTCTTTACCTTAAATTTTATTGACTGATAGTAAATAAAAATTGTTTCATGACCATAACTGCATTATTGATCAATTAGTAGATTATACTGACACCTGATGAAAAAGGGGGGTCAATATTCTTTGACATTTCAATACCTATGATTTTTTTACTAAACTCATTGAAAAAATTGTGGAAAGTCTTTTAAGCAGTAGGAAAAACAAGGAAAAATCAACCAAAATTGATCTTGATATTGAAAGCTTATGTTCTTGTGGTCTGAAATTAAATTTTCAAGTATTTTCTATTAAAGTCATACATTACAGTCAGTTTAAATTGAGCTGTGAGTTTAGCAATATAAGTCGCATAATGCTCAGATAGAATTTGTTTTACTACACATTGACCAAGGATTAAGAATTAAGCAAAACAAAAGACTTCTGATAAACTTTTATGTCTCTTTAGGTGTCAGACCACCAATTCACTCCCTCCAATTTAGAACGTATGTAAAAGTAGCCCTACTCTGACAAAAAAGTGCTTTTGATGTCATTGTTTACTTAAACTAACCAACAAATTTGCAGACATGAAACTTTTGGTGAAAGAGAAATATATTTAGACCATTTTGAGCCAAAATATACTTGTCTATGAGTTTGTATAAAAAATTAAGGATAAATGCGCTCCATAGTATACTAATTTAAGATTTCCAGAAAACCAGGGGTTATTTTCAGTAGTACTTGACTTCCAAAAGGCAGTTCTTTCTTAGAAGGCTTTAAACATGGGTTAAAAATTGGCATTTAGAAAGGTGATACATGTACAATTCAGGTTAACCTGGTTTCTATGAAGTTAAACTTAAGGTAAAATATTAAGAAAGCTGTGAAAATTGCAAAATTTGGTTGGAAAGATAGGGATTTTGAATTGGTGGTCTGACACCTAAAAAGACTGAGCAATCATGAAAAGTAGGCAAAGGCAGATAACTATATGTATAGCTTAAGACACGTTCAATTCAACGAACTTTTGATATAATGTAAACTGATAGTACAAAAGTACATGATACCGAAAAATTTGAAATTCTTAATTTTTGAAAACGACATTCATTCAAGAAACCAGGAACAAATATTCACTGAGGACATGAAAATATCCCCTTATATGAACGAACAGAAAAAAATCCAAACATGTAAAAATAAACAACAACAAAAATAGAATATAATGAATACATATTGAATAACAACATTTTGTTGATTTATGACTACTCTTGTTCTGAGGCTGCCCCGTAGGACGACATGGATCACAATGTGAATTTTCCTGTCCAGATAATTGCAATGATGTTACGTGCAGTATTTTGGATGGATCATGTACATCTTGTAAAGCAGGCTTCAAGGGAAATCGTTGTGATCAAGGTAAATACACTAATGAGACAAATGAATCACCTGCACTTTATATCATTACCTGTGCGGAATTTGAACTCAAACTGTTGAAACATTTACAGCAACCATATATATGTATTAAAACACAGCTCTAATGCTGTCCAATATAAATATATTTGCGTAATATGGCCATAATATAAGATAGATTAACAAATGTAGTTATTTTTCCGTAGTAACTTCTTTTCATGTTTGGGGTCAAAACACGTAACTTGTAAAACACCAATCAGCATGATACGACAGTAACACAATCATTTATGTATTTCAGGAAAGGTTGCGCAGTAGCTAAATCTAACAAAAAATCATAACCTTAAAAAGTCGATAACGTTTTGTATGGTTTAGATATTCGTCATATTGAATATGAATACTAGTATATCTGATAGCATCGTGTAAAAATATGACTAAATCGAAGATAAGGCGATAGAACATATTTATGCATCCTATATTACACTGTCCATATTACTTAATGTTGGTTTCAATTATTTGAATAAAAAATAAACAGGAAATTTTGTTTGTCCTGACGTAAATGTATTAATGTTAACAAATGCTAGCATATCCTGGAAGTGAGTTGCGTTTTTGTTACCGATGGGACATCCATCCATCATTGACAAATGATGTATATATTCCGCTTTAAAGTCTTTTTACGTAATAAACGCATACATTTCCTGTAGTTTTATATTTCTCTCAAACACGTGAATTAATGTTCGTCTTTATTGTTTCCATTTTACTGCTTCTTTTTGTTGATTGGTTAGCTTTTCGACGATACTTTTTACAATATCAATATAATTTGATTGAACAATAAACATACATATTACTTCGCAAAACATCAGATACAGATTTAAGGTTACTACATGAGTTAGATAACTTTCAAAATGTGGTTTCAAAATTATTTTCAAATAGTATAATACAAATATCAATAAAATACTGTACTTTATATCATGAAAGTGCTCTTCATATTTTTCTCTACTCAACGGTTAAACAGAATGCAGCAATTTCATATTTTGAATTAAATACTTAGTTGTAAATACAATTGAATTGTATATGTAATGCAATCAATGGCAATCATGTTGTATCAGTCATTCGTGATGATATCGATATCAGTCACAATTGCAACGGCTTTATCAAATCCCTAACTGAATGACGCCACTTCATCGATATCGGTCACTGTTCCATAGGCTTTATGAAACCCCTTATTGTTATAACGTCATCTTCTTTCTAGGTATATGATAAAGTATATATGATATGGTTTTTCAATATCACATCCGTATCAACTCGAGACATTAATATAATCACAAGAGCTCTGCTTGAGGAATTATATTGGTCGGGGGTTGCTATATATTGCAGCCATGTTATCCTATTTTATTAGTCGTTGTCCTTATTCTCGTAAAAGATCTTCATATAAAGTACTTTTAATTGATGTATAGCATCGTAATATTTCCCACCGAACGAAACGGTAGTTAAGAGTACTGTTTTCTATGATATTGCAAATATAGCTTCAATTATCAACATATCAATGACAAATATCTGCTTGAAATAGGTTTTCAAAATTTGCTATACAAAAAAGTGAATATTGGTGAATATTTTCTCTTGGCGAATATATATATTGGACTGGCAGGCTTGTGCAATTTCAAAATCTTCTCGAGACAATATTCATGAATTGTTATGCAATAACGTTGTATAAAATAATTTCTGCGTATCCTATTTAAATAAACATGAAAAGTAAGACAACCAGGAAGAATTTTTTCAGAATTTAATGTCATTTTTAGTTTAAAATTAATATAGAATCTTTACATTTGACAAGCAGGTTTTTGCAAGGTTATAGTAAATAAACAGTCATATATTAATGGTAAATGGAAAGTGGCAATTATCGTAATTATCATAATACGATATATATCAAACAGACATTAAAATCAGTCAAAGTAGGCGGCATGTAATGTAAATTTTCTTGTATGTTGTTCATTCTGATATCATGATAATAAAATGTTTTCCAATATCTGTGTTTTATGTGGTATATTCATACTGAATTTAGTTTTTTGTAATAAACACTAATCTGTATTATTATCTAGAATGTGATACAGGAACATTTGGAAATAACTGTCTTCAAAAATGTACCAATTGCTTATCCGGCAATTGTGACCGTTTCAATGGAACTTGTGGTCCATCTGGAGTATGTAAATCAGGATGGCGCGGGCCAGGATGCAATGATAGTAAGTTCACTTTGTTTCCCGTAATCAATATATAACATGCAAAAAGACAATAAAAAGTTAAAAATAATGCAAGAATAGGTGTTTGCAACTGTGCATGTACTAAGAATCAACTGCAACTGAATGATATTGATCACTAAATAATGCATTTTTATTAGGAAAAGTATATTACAGGAATTGTGCAGCTGAATTTTTTTTAAAATGGTATCAATATATCCAAAAACAGACACAACAAAGTTAACAAAAACCAAATCAGATATCAATTGAGCTACTAAGGTACCTCAACTTCTAGTTATTTATTTGTTATAATAATTTTTTTCACGGTTCGAATTAACTTATTCAAAACAAAATTGAATCTGTTTTCTGAAGTTCACCGAACTTTGCATTTTTTAGCATGTGGAAAAGGAACCTACGGAATTAACTGTTCTATGTCCTGTAGCAATTGCATAAACGAGTCTTGTGATCATTTTATGGGAAATTGTCTGATAGTTGGCGGTTGTAAAGCAGGATATTATGGTTCAAAATGTAGTGAAGGTATGTAAGCCAAAATTTATATCCCTACTTATAATAATTATCATTCTGTATTATTATCTAGAATTTGATATAAGAACATTTGGGAGTAGCTGTCTTCAAAAATGTACGATACATATGATAGAAAAAAAACTGAATGTTTTCTTATTTATGATTTTCATAGGTTTATTCTCCCCCTTTTATATTTTATCTTTTCTGGTTCATTTGGCTCAAAATGGGAACTTATGGAAACTGCATTCAAATCTGTAATTACTGGTCATTTGACATCACACATACCTGTCGTAGAACGTAAACTTTCTTAAGCCAGGTATACACTGCTACATGGTAGGGAAAAGAATCCATTTTGTGAAAACAGATTAGGCAATATTCCTACATATAGAATTGTTGGTGTAGGCTGCAGTGCCGAAACCTATGGTGATAATTGTAAGTTTGAATGGCATTGTTAAGATGGAAATATGTGTGATAACGTGAATGGTGTTAGTCCTACGGAATTGTGTGATCCTGATTCGAAATCAAAGACTTAATAAAAAAAGATCAATTTTTTATAGACTGTTTTAATTTAGAAGACTTATGGTAAAAATCAATCAAAATAGCGGCATGTAATGTTGTTCATTTTGATATCATTATAATATAATGTTTTTTCTTCTCTCTGTGTTTTATGTGGTATGCTCATACTGAATTTAGTTTTTTTGGAATAATCACTAATCTGTATTATTATCTAGAATGTGATATAGGAACATTTGGAAATAACTGTCTTCAAAAATGTACCAATTGCTTATCCGGCAATTGTGACCGTTTCAATGGAACTTGTGGTCCATCTGGAGTATGTAAATCAGGATGGCGCGGGCCAGGATGCAATGATAGTAAGTTCACTTTGTTTCCCGTAAACAATATATAACATGCAAAAAGACAATAAAAAGTTAAAAACAATGCAAGAATAGGTGTTTGCAACTGTGCATGTACTAAGAATCAACTGCAACTGAATGATATTGATCACTAAATAATGCATTTTTATCAGGAAAAGTATATTACATGAATTGTGCAGCTGAATTTTTTTTAAATGGTATCAATATATCCAAAAACAGGCACAACAAAGTTAACAAAAACCAAATCAGATATCAATTGAGCTACTAAGGTACCTCAACTTCTAGTTATTGTTTTGTCATAATAATTTTTTTCACGGTTCGAATTAACTTATTCAAAACAAAATTGAATCTGTTTTCTGAAGTTTACCGAACTGTGCATTTTTTAGCATGTGGGAAAGGAACCTACGGAATTAACTGTTCTATGTCCTGTAGCAATTGCATAAACGAGTCTTGTGATCATTTTATGGGAAATTGTCTGATAGTTGGCGGTTGTAAAGCAGGATATCATGGTTCAAAATGTAGTGAAGGTATGTAAGCCAAAATTTATATCCCTACTTATAATAATTATCATTCTGTATTATTATCTAGAATTTGATATAAGAACATTTGGGAGTAGCTGTCTTCAAAAATGTACGATATATATGATAGAAAAAAACTGAATGTTTTCTTATTTATGTTTATCATAGGTTCATTACCCCCTTTCTTATTTTATCTTTTCTGGTTCATTTGGCTCAAAATGGGAACTTATGGAAACTGTATTCAAATCTGTAATTACTGGTCATTTGACATCACACATACCTGTCGTAGAACGTAAACTTTCTTAAGCTAGGTATACACTGCTACATGGTAGGGAAAAGAATCCATTTAGTGAAAACAGATTAGGCAATATTCCTTACATATAGAATTGTTGGTGTAGGCTGCAGTGCCAATACCTATGGTGATAATTGTAAGTTTGAATGGCATTGTTAAGATGGAAATATGTGTGATAACGTGAATGGTGTTAGTCCTACGGGATTGTGTGATCCTGATTCGAAATCAAAGACTTAATAAAAAAAGATCAATTTTTTATAGACTGTTTTAATTTAGAAGACTTATGGTAAAAATCAATCAAAATAGCGGCATGTAATGTTGTTCATTTTGATATCATTATAATATAATGTTTTTTCTTCTCTCTGTGTTTTATGTGGTATGCTCATACTGAATTTAGTTTTTTTGGAATAAACACTAATCTGTATTATTATCTAGAATGTGATACAGGAACATTTGGAAATAACTGTCTTCAAAAATGTACCAATTGCTTATCCGGCAATTGTGACCGTTTCAATGGAACTTGTGGTCCATCTGGAGTATGTAAATCAGGATGGCGCGGGCCAGGATGCAATGATAGTAGGTTCACTTTGTTTCCCGTAATCAATATATAACATGAAAAAAGACAATAAAAAGTTAAAAATAATGCAAGAATAGGTGTTTGCAACTGTGCATGTACTAAGAATCAACTGCAACTGAATGATATTGATCACTAAATAATGCATTTTTATTAGGAAAAGTATATTACATGAATTGTGCAGCTGAATTTTTTTTAAATGGTATCAATATATCCAAAAACAGGCACAAGAGAGTTAACAAAAACCAAATCAGATATCAATTGAGCTACTAAGGTACCTAACTTCTAGTTATTATTTTGTTATAATAATTTTTTTCACGGTTCGAATTAACTTATTCAAAACAAAATTGAATCTGTTTTCTGAAATTCACCGAACTTTGCATTTTTTAGCATGTGGCAAAGGAACCTACGGAATTAACTGTTCTATGTCCTGTAGCAATTGCATAAACGAGTCTTGTGATCATTTTATGGGAAATTGTCTGATAGTTGGCGGTTGTAAAGCAGGATATCATGGTTCAAAATGTAGTGAAGGTATGTAAGCCAAAATTTATATCCCTACTTATAATAATTATCATTCTGTATTATTATCTAGAATTTGATATAAGAACATTTGGGAGTAGCTGTCTTCAAAAATGTACGATATATATGATAGAAAAAAAACTGAATGTTTTCTTATTTATGTTTATCATAGGTTCATTCTCCCCCTTTTATATTTTATCTTTTCTGGTTCATTTGGCTCAAAATGAGAACTTATGGAAACTGTATTCAAATCTGTAATTCCTGGTCATTTGACATCACACATACCTGTCGTAGAACGTAAACTTTCTTAAGCTAGGTATACACTGCTACATGGTAGGGAAAAGAATCCATTTAGTGTAAACAGATTAGGCAATATTCCTTACATATAGAATTGTTGGTGTAGGCTGCAGTGCCAATATCTATGGTGATAATTGTATGTTTGAATGGCATTGTTAAGATAGAAATATGTGTGATAACGTGAATGGTGTTAGTCCTACGGAATTGTGTGATCCTGATTCGAAATCAAAGACTTAATAAAAAAAAAGATCAACTTTTTATAGACTGTTTTAATTTAGAAGAATTATGGTAAAAATCAATCAAAATAGCGGCATGTAATGTTGTTCATTTTGATATCATTATAATATAATGTTTTTTCTTCTCTCTGTGTTTTATGTGGTATGCTCATACTGAATTTAGTTTTTTTGGAATAAACACTTATCTGTATTATTATCTAGAATGTGATAGAGGAACATTTAGGAATAGCTGTCTTCAAAAATGTTCAAATTGCATATACGACAATTGTGGAACAGGATCTGCATACCCTTCCGGAGCACCTGAGATTACCCCCAGTTTTTGGTGGGGTTCGTGATGCTTAGTCTTTAGTTTTCTTTGTTGTGTCATCTGTACTATTATTTGTCTGTTTGTCTTTTTATTTTTGGCCATGGCGTTGTCAGTTTGTTTTCGATCTATGAGTTTGACTGTCCCCCTGGTATCATTCGTCCCTCTTTTGTAACCGTTTCAACGGAACTTGTGATCCATTTGGGAGTATGTAAATCAGGATGGCGCGGGCCAAGATGCAATGATAGTAAGTTCACTTTGTTTCCCGAAAACAATATATAACAGGTCAAAAGACAATGAAAAGTTGATAAAATTGCAAGAACAGGAAGTAGCAAAAAGTAGAATAACAAAAATACCAATCTCTAAGGGAAATTCAAAACAGAAAGTCCTTTATAAAATTGCAAAATCAAAAGCTCAAACACATCTAACGAATGCAAAACAACTGTCATCTTCTGATAACTATGAGTGTATCAGGTAGCATCTACAACTGAATAATATTGATCATTTAATAAATGCATCTTTATAGCATGAAATGTGCAGCTGCATTTCTGTTTAGAAATGGTATCCCTATACTAATTATCATACTGTAACAACAGTTACAGTAATAATAACAAACCCTTCAAAATAAATAGGTTAACATAGCCATTTGCACATACCTGTCCTAAGTAAGGAACCTTGTCAGTAGTTGTCATAATTGTGTGCTGAATGAAAATATTTGTTTTAATTAAATGTATTCACAACTATATATATATATATGTACATATCAACAAGTCTAAATTGAAAACAACGTTCAAACCTATCATTGCGTTGGATAAAAACCGCAATTTTTATACGTGTGCATGCAAAACAAATTTCTTGTTAGAGGGATCTAAATACAGCACAAACAACATTTTCCAAACGACCAAAAGAGTGAAAAAGTATATTTTAACAAAACGCATTTGATTAACAGGTCGAACAACAAATGTTCTTAAATCCTGCTGACTGCTATTGGCGATTGCCAAATAAACGGATCACAAGGTGTAATAAATGGATCTCAACTATAATTTAATACCAAACAGAAAACAATAAACTTGCGGCAAAGATGGTATACCGCAAACAAAGGTGCAAAGATTTTTTGAACACCACATCCGGATTTCTACAATTAATGCCTCTTCAGTGATGTTAGGAATCGAAACGGTAATTGGAAGGCCACATAATTTACCTCAATTTAGGAAAGACTCTTGAATTTTGAGGAGTCAAAATAGGATGAACGGATCATATAAACCCGAAGGCAAATATAATACAAGCCAAACGAAAAAAAATAAACAAGTCTAAATTGAAAACAACGTTCAAACCTATGATTGCGTTGGATACAAACCTCAATTTTTATACGTGTGCATGCAAAACAAATTTCTTGTTAGAGGGGTCTAATAACAGCACAAACAACATTTTCCAAAATACAAAAAGAATGAAAAAGTATATTGTAACAAAACGCATTTGACTAACAGGTCGAACAACAAATGTTCTTAAATCCTGCTGACTGCTATTGGCGATTGCCAAATAAACGGATCACAAGGTGTAATAAATGGATCGTAACTATAAATTAAAACAAAACAGAAAACAATAACCTTACGGCATAGATGGTATACCGCAAACAAAGGTGCAAAGATTTTTTGAACACCATATCCGGATTTCGACAATTAATGTCTCTTCAGTGATGTTAGGAATCGAAACGGTTATTGGAAGGACACATAATTTACCTCAATTTAGGATAGACTCTTGAATTTTGAGGAGTCAAAATAGGATGAACGGATCATATAAACCCGAAGGCAAATATAATACAAGCCCAAACGAAAAAATATAAAAAGTCTAAGTTGAAAACAACGTTCAAACCTATGATTGCGTTGGATAAAAACCGCAATTTTTATACGTGTGCATGCAAATCAAATTTCTTGTTAGAGGGGTCTAATTACAGCACAAACAACATTTTCCAAAAGACCAAAAGAGTGAAAAAGTATATTTTAACAAAACGCATTTGACTAACAGGTCGAACAACAAATGTTCTTACATCCTGCTGACTGCCATTGGCGATTGCCAAATAAACGGATCACAAGGTGTAATAAATGGATCTTAACTAAACATTGTACATTTCTATATATAGACTATATATATATAGATTCGGGATGAAATACAGAGCTTGATATGTTGTAGAGACACCTGTCCATTGTTGAAGACTGCATGTTGCTCTAAAGATGTATTTTTTTGGATTTTCTTTCGCAGCGGTATTCTAAGTTAAGGCACTGGTGCAAATATGGTTGAAATTATCGGTTTCATCAGTGGCAGAAATGTGTTTCAAAATTTCAAATTATACTATTTCATGAATATTGGTGAATATAGTCCCTTGTTAAGTATATATATTGGATTCGCGAGCTCGTGCAATAGCAAAATCATCTCGAGACAATATTCACAATTTTTTATGCAATAACACTTTATGAAAAGATTTTTCGTTTACTTTATTAGTAAACATATAAACAGTTAGACAACCACGAAGAATTTGTTCCGAATATATTGTCAGGAAAATTCTGAACATTATTTTGTTTTAGTTTAGACTTAATGTAGGAAATTTACATTAGACAACAATAACAATTATCTGTTTTATTATCTAGAATGTGAGAGAGGAACATTTGGGAAGAGCTGTCTTCAAAAATGTAGAAATTGCATATCCGACAATTGTGACCGTTTCAATGGAACTTGTGATCCATTGGGAGTATGTAAATCAGGATGGCGCGGGCCAAAATGCAATGATAGTAAGTTCACTTTGTTTCCCGAAAAATATATTTTACATGTCAAAAGAAAATAAAAAGTTGATAATATTCCAAGAACAGATAGTTGCAAATAGTAAAATATCAAAAATACCGACCTCCAAGGGAAATTCAAAACGGAAAGTCCTGATTAAAATGGCAAAATCAAAAGCTGAGTGTATCAGGAAGCAACTGCAACTGGATAATACTGATCATTAAATAAATGCACCTTTATTAGGAAAAGTATATTACATGAAATGTGCAGCTGAACTTTTGTTTAGAATGGTATTCCTATACTAATTATTATTCTTTAACAATAGTTACAGTAATAATAACAAACCATTCAAAATAAATAGGTTAACAGAGCCATTTTCACGTACCTGTACCAAGTCAGGAACCTTGTCAGGACTTGGGATGATATAAAGCTATATATGTTTTGGAGACACCTGTCCATTGTTGAAGACTGTGTATTGCTCTAAAGACGTATTTTTGTTGATTTTTTTTTTCGCGGCTGTATCCTATGATATTGCACTGGTTCAAATATGGTTCAAATTATCGGTTTCATCAGTTACATATATGTGTTTGAAATAGGTTTTCAAAATTTGCTATACAAAAAAGGGGTATTGCATGAATATTGGTGAATATAATCCCTCGCAAAGTATATATATTGGACTCTCGAAATCGTGCAATATCAAAATCATCTCGAGACAATATTCACCAATGCTTATGCAATAACACTATATAAGAAAATTGTGCGTTTACTTTATTGGTAAACATATAAACAGTTAGACAACCTCGAAGAATTTGTTTCGAATTTATTGGGAATTCTGAACATTATTTTGTTTTAGTTTGGACTAAAAGTAGGAAATTTACTTTTGACAACAAGGTTATTGATGGTTATAGTAAATAAGAGCTCGTATGTCAATGGTAAATCAAAAGCGACAATTATCGTAATTATCATAATACGATATATATCATACAAACATAAAAATCTATCAAAGTAGGTGGCATGTAATGAACATTTTTTGTATGTAGTTCATTCTGATATCATAATAACATAATGTGTTTTAATATCTGTGTTTCATGTGGTATTTCATACTGAATTTAGTTTTTTTGGAATAACAATTATCTGTTTTATTATCTAGAATGTGAGAGAGGAACATTTGGGAAAGACTGTCTTCAAAAATGTAGAAATTGCATAACCGACAATTGTGACAATTCCAATGGAACTTGTGATCCATTGGGAGTATGTAAATCAGGATGGCGCGGGCCAAGATGCAAAGATAGTAAGTTCACTTTGTTTCCCGAAAAGAAATATATGACATGTCAAAAGACAAGAAAAAGGTTGATAAAATTGCAAGAACAAGTGGTTGCTTCCGTGAATGTATCAGGAAGCAACTGCAACTGAATAATATTGATCATTAAATAAATGCATCTTTATTAGGAAAAGTATATTACATGAAATGTGCAGCTGATTTTCTGTTTAGAAATGATATCAAAATGTCCAAAAACAGGCAAAACAAAGTTAACAAAATCTGAATCAGATATCAATTTAACTACTCATATACCTCAATTTATAGTTATTTGTTTGTAATAAATCTAATCTGATTTCTAAGGTACATTGAACTTTGTATTTTTAGCATGTGGCAAAGGAACCTACGGAGAAAACTGCTCTATGTCCTGTGGCAGTTGCATAAACGAGTCTTGTGATCATTTTAATGGAAATTGTATTATATTTGGCGATTGTAAAGCAGGATATCATGGTTCAAAATGTAGGGAAGGTATATAAGCCAAAATTCATATCTCTACTTATACTAATTATCATTCTATAACAACAGTTACAGTAATAATAACAAACCATTCAAAATAAATTCGGTTAACATAGATATTTTCATGTACCTGCGCCAAGTCAGGAGCCTTGTCAGTAGTTGTCGTGTGTCATAATTGTGTGCTGAATGAAAATATTTGATTGTTTTAATTAAATGTATTCACAACATATATATATGTAGGACTCTGAACCGCGATGGTACTCCGAACTGCGATAGTCACGCTGATGTTCAATGGTTTGACGCTGAAGTGCGATAGTGGTATTGTGACACTATCTTGTTGATAGCTACGCCGAAGTGCGATGGTCTACACAAAACTTCATGCTTTTCATGTCGATGTAGAAGTCAATTTGTATGTTAAAAGCAGTTTTCCAGCTTTTTAAGTTGATAAAGGGCTTATAAACTTTAAATACTACGAGAAACGGGGAGGATTGGTAGATAGGGGAAAATTAACCTTCTGTTTGGATTTTTTTTTCGAAATCTACAAAAGCTTTCTTTTTACGTCATATGGGGCGTGACATTCACTAAATACATACCGGTCTGCAGACAGACTTTCCATACTATAATATTACGGTAAACGAGGAACTCACAAGAGGAACAAAGCAAAAATATAATATTAGTGCAGAATTATGTCCACACGTAGAAAATCAAAGAGGACGATCTCTCATTTAGTAATCGACTGTAATTAAAGACAGACATAGACAATAATGAATGTAAATTTATATACTAACTATTTAAAAAATCTACATGTACTTCTCATAATAATTGCACATCTGCCATTATACTATATAAAAACATTGTGCGTTTACTTTATTAGTAAACATATAAACAGTTAGATAACCACGAAGAATTTGTTCCGAATTTATTGTCAGGAAAATTCTGAAAATCATTTTGTTTTAGTTTAGTCTTAATGTAGGAAATTTATATTTGACAACCAGGTTTTGGATGGTTTTAGTAAATAAGCACTCATATTTCGATGGTAAATCAATCGCAGCAATTATCGTTAATATCATTATATGATATATATCATATATAGATATAAGAAGATGTGGTATGAGTGCCAATGAGACAACTCTCCATCCAAGTCAAAATTTATAAAAGTAAACCATTATAGGTCACAGTACGGTCATACACACATAAAAATCAATAAAAATAGGTAGCATGTTATGTACATATTTTGTATGTAGTTCATTCTGATATCATTATAACATAATGTTTTTCTATTATCTGTGTTTCATGTGGTATTTTCATACTGAATTTGTTTTTTTGGGGGGAAATTAACTACTCATATACCTCAATTTCTATTTATTTGTTTGTTATAAAAATTTTGTTCAAGGTTGGAATCAAAATTTAATCTGTTTTCTGAAGTACATTGAACTTTGTATTTTTTAGCATGTGGCAAAGGAACCTACGGAGAAAACTGTTCTATGTCCTGTAGCAATTGCAAAAACGAGTCTTGTGATCATTTTAATGGAAATTGTATGATAGTTGGCGGTTGTAAAGCAGGATATCAAGGTTCAAAATGTAGTGAAGGTATTTAAGCTAAAATTTATATCTCTACTTGTACTAATTATCATTCTGTAACAGCAGTTACAGTAATCATAACAAACAAACCATTGAAAATAAATAGGTTAACATGACCATTTCCACGTACCCTCCAAAGTCAGACACCTCGCCAGCATTTTAAAAATTGTAATTGAATGGATGAGTTTAAAGTCATATCAAACTTCAAATAAAAAAAAATGAATATGTTTTATAAACTTGAATGGCTAAGTTTTACTATTAAACAAGTGTACGTGAACTTTCTTGTAAAAACAATTTTTGTTAATATCAAAATCGTCATAAATGTACTGCTTTTGAGTTATTGTCTTTCCGTTCACTTATTAGCCGATATATTCCGTATGCAGTGACCTAAACTACGAGACGTTTCGTTAGAACTTCGGTCACCCAACATCACAAGTGCGAGGAGAAAACCGTGATGAAGGAATGTAAACAAACGCGCACTGGAAGATAAATGTCAATAACTGAATCGTGAAGAACAAATTTAATTAAACATTGTTCGGGAAAAATTTAATTAACAAATGGGAACGCATGGATAACATATGAAAAAGAATCATCGTGGCTCTTTCAATTCATTTATTTGCACCTGCTCCATTTGCTCTGTGTTTGATCTACGTTATAGATTCATAATAAATATAAAGGAAACGTGCATGGAGGACTTAGTTTAGTACATTTTGGAAATAGTTTCTAAAACTGTTCGTAAAAACCGTTCTCATGGTCGTAGAAAAAATCGCAATCAAAGAAAATTTCGGACCAATCATACCAATATTTCGGACCTAATTTCTATTTCAAAAAACAACGGCAGACATTATCTGTTAACAAAGCTCTGTTCATTACCGGTTAATAAGTTAAATAAAATTTTAGAGGATTGCAACACAATTTCATATAGCAGTCCTAAGTATGAAATCGTTCAAATTATAATGGCATATTGTTATTCTAAACTGTTTCCCAAAATTGATCGCCCTGAAGATCATAAAAAACAGTTTATTAAAATAAAGTATGTCAATAAAGGTTTTGATTTTGTAAATATTGCCGGTATTTTTAACGACCATTCTGTTAAAGAACAAATTCCGAGATATTTTGATAATACTGAGCTCCCTCTTATTTGTTATATTTACAAGAAATCTACCCGGAAATTTGTGTTTAATTATAGCCAATTGTGTAAAGATGTTAATATCAATGAAAATACACCTACTTCATGTAATTGCAGTAATTCCGAATACATTTATGGACCCATTTCCCATGATATAACAGGAGATCTTAACATCGTTCAAGACCGAGAGTTAAAATCATTCCTCAGTAAAGGACCTAAATATCGTCCCCCGTCAATTATTAATTGGAATGAGCGTCGTAATATCATCCACGACTCACTCCATACTTACTGTTTGAAATGGATAAAACGGGAAAAAGCTGACAAAAAATCTTTGGACTCTTTTTTTTAAATCAGTAATGAACATAGTTGATATACGTATTCAACATTTTAAAGAACATTTTACTCTTAACAATAACCACAATAAACCTATTTCTCGTATCAAACATAAACTAAAAGAACTAGCCAAGGAATTTGTTTTTGTCCCGGCCGATAAAGCTGCTAATAATATTATTATTGTTTGACGTAAATTTTACATTGAGGTTCTGAAAAAAGAAATCACCAATTCACCAACATTCCAACTGACTCCATTTTCAGAAAACGACATCTGTAACAAACATAAACTTTTAGCTACCGCTTTACAAGCAGAACCAAATACAATGAAAGTCCCAACTATGTATTGGCTTCCGAAGCTACACAAAACACCTTACAAATATAGATTCATTTCGTCTTCAAGCCATTGTTCCACTACTAAATTGTCTATTCTTCTTACCAGTACACTTGGTACAATCAAAAACCTGATAATAAATTGTTCAAATAAGGCCTTCAAAAATAGTGGAATTAATTACTTTTGGAGTGTCAAGAACTCGTTGGAAGTACTTGATAAATTGCATGCATATATTGGTGATTTTGAATCTGTTCAAACTTTTGATTTTTCTACCCTATATACCACATTGCCTCACATTCTCATTAAGAAAAAATTCACACACCTAATTAAATGGGCATTTAAAAAGTCAGAATGTGAATATATATGTTCAAACTCTTTTAGGTCATTTTTTAGTAGCAATAAACAAAAAAACTGTGTCAATTGGACATGCTTTGATACTATATATGCCCTTGAATTTTTACTAGATAACATTTTTGTTCGCTTTTGAGATTCCGTATATCGTCAGGTTATCGGAATTCCAATGGGGACTAACTGTGCACCACTTATTGCGGACCTTTTTTTGTATTGCTATGAGTTACAATTTATGACAAAAATCAGTAAAGACCCATCGAAACAACATCTGATACACAAATTTAATAATACTTTTAGATATTTGGATGATATTTTGGCTCTCAATAATGACGACTTCAGTATGTATACTAAAGAAATTTATCCTGTTGAACTTACTTTAAATAAAGCTAATACTAACAATGACCACTGCCCTTTCCTCGATCTTGATATCTTTATCATTAACGGAAAGCTTAATACTAAAATATATGATAAAAGAGATGATTTTTCATTTCCTATCGTTAATTATCCATTTTTAGATGGTGACGTTCCCTTGTCACCATCTTACGGTGTTTATTTATCTCAACTTGTACGATTCGCTCGTGTATGTAACAATGTTTTATATTTTAACGAGAGAAATTTATGTATTACTGAAAAATTATTACACCAGGGTTTTCGATATCACAAACTAGTCAAAACATTTACTAAATTTTATCATCGGTATAAGGACATCATTCGTAAATATAGCTCAACATGCAGACTTCTTATACGTTCAGGTATTTCACATCCAATTTTTTATGGAAATATTCTTTTTAAAGCACAAAAATGTCAGTATTCACCTCTGAAACTAACAAAACCTTTAAATAGACTTATTAAGAAGGGATATAGTTACGATACTGTTGTCAGGTCATTAAAGATTGCATATTTTGGCGTTAATATTGATTCACTTATAGGGTCTTTGCATCGGCACTAAACACATTTATTCAAAAACCAGTTGTTGGCATGACACGGGTTATGTTCTTCTCATATATGTTATGATGGTATGATACTAAACCCCTAACGGGAAGGATTGTGCCTGATATTCATATGTTGAAGACATAATCTTTCAATCAGTTTAATTAAAGTCTGGAGCTGGCATGTCAGTTAACTGCTAGTAGTCTGTTGTTATTTATGTATTATTGTCATTTTGTTTATTTTCTTTGGTTACATCTTCTGACATCAGACTCGGACTTCTCTTGAACTGAATTTTAATGTGCGTATTGTTATGTGTTTACTTTTCTACATTGGCTAGAGGTATAGGGGGAGGGTTGAGATCTCATAAACATGTTTAACCCCGCCGCATTTTTGCGCCTGTCCCAAGTCAGGAGCCTCTAGCCTTTGTTAGTCTTGTATTATTTTTAATTTTAGTTTCTTGTGTACAATTTGGAGTTTAGTATGGCGTTCATTATCACTGAACTAGTATATATATTTGTTTAGGGACCAGCTGAAGGACGCCTCCGGGTGCGGGAATTTCTCGCTGCATTGAAGACCTGTTGGTGGCCTTCTGCTGTTGTCTGTTCTGTGGTCGGGTTGTTGTCTCTTTGACACATTCCCCATTTCCATTCTCAATTTTATGTATTGGTTCAATAATTTTGATAACATTAAAATTACAAGAAGCTCGTTTCATTTGACTTTAATAGATTCGCCTTTTCTTTTCTTAACAAACGAGCGAGATGCTGACTGTGTCTCAGTTATATTAGATATTGATTAATGATGTATATCTATTATAAAATTTCATACTGAAAATTGATTTCATAATCTGAATTCCACTATACTATGTATTTTGTAGAATGTGACAGAGGATTCTACGGGGTTAACTGTGCTATGTCCTGCAGCAATTGCATTAACGAATCGTGTGATCATCTTGAAGGAATATGTCAAACTGTTGGTTCTTGTAAAGCAGGGTATCGTGGATCAAAATGTAACCAATGTATGTTTACCAAAATTTCAATTCCAACAAGTTTTTAACACATATATCAATAAAGAGGGGGAATGAAAACAAACAAATTTTAATTCTATATAATATCTGACGTTTGACATTAAACAAATATATATCAATCAATTTAACTTTGTATAATGATATCACAGGAAAATTTTAAATTATATATAATAATAAAATCCATATTTAATATCATTATTGAATATCAGTATGTAAATCACCTTTATTTGGGTACAGCTGCCGGCAAACATGTCACTGCGTGAATGGAACATTGTGTTATAATGTTAATGGTCAGTGCAAGTTAGATTCATTGGTACTTCATGTGTTCAACGTAAGACATCAAATAGAAAAGTTCTAACCTTATGTTAAACTGCTGGTCCTTACAAGTTTAAACATGTACAATAAGTTGTCTATAAAAACTAAGGAAATCAAATCAATGAAATTTTAAATTTGTCCACAACGGACTGCTACATAAAAAATAGGTCATTAAAGTATTGAAAAGTAAAATAACAAAAATACCGAACTCGAAGAGATATTCAAAACGGAAAGTCCTTTGAAAACACATTCAAACTGTGCATGGAAATATAAAATCTTAAAATGCAAGTACCTTTCAAGGCGTTGTTACCTGTTTAACTGTCAGCTCAAAAAAGAAAATAACCAGACAACTTTACTTGAACCATTTTCCACGTGCTAAACTGGAAAGCGTTAAAATCTAAATCGTAACTCTTTGGTTTGACTCAGCCGAAAACCAATGCAACGACTTTCTGCACTCAAGGCAAGCATGTTAATATGCATGAGACCACCGAAACGGTTATGTAAGAAAATAATACATTCACGTACTTGTTTGCCTAAACATTTACAATAAGAATTCTCATATACATTCTGTTGCTGGAAAAATCACAATGGCAACCATGGGACCATAGCAACTTAATTTGCTAAAATTCTTGAATTTTTTGCTCAATTTGTGTTTTGATTTGTTTTATTTACAGCAAATAAGAGAACTCTTGAAGTATAACATTAATTAATAAATTTCTACGTTATCTATGTACAATATGAATGACAGCTATTCAACGCCACAAATGATCAAAACAGTATCTAGAGTGCTACATACAGTATATAGTCAAATACGTTTGCAGCATTTTGATACTGGGGGATTATTGCCTCATCACTTCTTGGAGAAAAATATTAAATAATTTGTTTTGATAGAGCAATGCAAACTCTATTAATTAACAATAGAAAATTCTAGCTACTCTACTAGATGCATGAAAATTCAAAAGTTTATCAAGCAGCTAAATAATGAAAGTTCACTATGAGTAAAAAAGTTGTATTTCTCTTTTGTAATATATTTTAGTTCATACATTACAAATTCACTGACTTTTATAAGGTATCAAAACAATTTTGTTTTTAAAAGAAAAAAAAAGTTTAAGAACTTTCATTCAAATCATTTTTGTATGGTTGATTGAAAATTATAAAATGTAAGACAACATAATTTCTGTATCTGATATTCCAAAACTTTTAGTGAGCTTTTGATTAACATTATTCATAGAAACCCTTGCTTTTGCTTACACTGATATCCTATTAAGATGACATATGAACGTTTAAATGGGATACAATGTATCACCAAATATACTCTAAACATTCTTATACGTTTATAAGATTTCCTTATACGTTATTCTATTAATTTTTTGTGTAAAGACATGCGCACAAGAAAACTTTATTTTTAAGATATTCCTAAAAAAAAATATTCATGAGTCTTGTCGAAGAAAAGACATATTTGCTAAAACAATACGACGCTTCATTCTCTAAATGTGTGTACTCTTCGAATTCTTTATTGGAATAAAATAAGTTATAAATGACATGCCTCAAATGGACTCCCCATCATTTGGAAACTGAACATAAACCGCACGACATTTACCAAGAAGGAATCCTGGATAATCATATGTCTGTTCCTTTGGAATTTCACCCAAAGATGAAGAACTGGATCTTCCCTCACTGTATTGGATAACTTAACTACATAAGTGTCCTTACAAACAATGTTATATTGGTGGGTCTTCCAAGTGCTCCACGAAACCTCTTTATAAATTATTAACATCAATTTTATCAGCAATCAAAGCGGTGCTTTAAAGTTATTGTGAAACTACATATTCTAGAGGTGTTGTGAATCAGATGTGAATACTAAAAAAAATCCAGAGATTTTTTAGAGTGCAAAAACAATCTAAGACTCTTTCATCTTGCAATAGTATTAGCACATTTAACTTTTCTACACTCTTGAACCAAGAGTTGGTCCTGCTTTGTTTAATAAAAAAATGGCCAACGTAGATACAAGTATCTTTTCTTAGGGAGGGATAAATCGTACTCCGTAAACAATCAATCTGATTCATACAAAAAATTCTCTGATACAGATATTAACAAGGAGCTTGATTTCTTGATTGACAACATATTTGTTACGATTGGAGGACGTGTTTTTCAACAAACAATTGGCATTCCCATGTGAACCAACTGTGCTCCTCTTCCTGCCGGATTGCTCCTTTATCATATGAGGCTGAACCTCATACAGAAACTAAGAAAGAAAAGAAGTTAGCAGTATCCGTTAACTTCACTTTCCGCTATATAGATGATGTTCTCTCACTAAATAATTCAACATTTGGTGACATCTATCCCATCGAACTTGAGATAAGGATAAAACAGATACAGTTAAGTCTGCCTCTTATCTTGACTTACATCTAGAAACTGACAATGATGGTCGATTGGAAGCAGAATTTATGACAAAAGAGATGATTTCAGCTTCCCAATGTTGAACTTTCCATTTCTATGTAGCAACATTCCAACAGCGCCCGCATACGGAGTTTATATCTCCCAGTTGATACGATATTCCAGGGCTTGTATTTCATATCATGATTTCCTTAATAGAAGGTAGCTGCTCACAACGATGCTATTAAACCAAGAGTTCTAAATGGTGAAGTTGTAATCATCCCTACGTAAATTTCACGAACGCTATCACGAGTTGGTTGACCGTTATGGAATATCCGTTTCGCAGATGACAACGGATATGTTCCAATTGTCGTAACTACAATCTCGTTTCCTTTTCCCGAATATGACCTACCCTATTTGTACTAACATGAGCACACACGATTGCCAGATATGGAACAGGATCTTCTTACCCTTCCGGAGCACCTGAGATCAACCTCAGTTTTTGGTGGGATTTGTGTTGCTCAGTCTATGGTTTTCTATGTTGTGTTTTATGTTCTATTGTTTGTCTGTTTCTTTTTTTGCCATGACGTTGTCAGTTTATCTTATGAGTTTAAATGTCCCTTTCTCTAAAGCTTTAATAATTGGCTTTGTTACTCTAGAGTGTGTAAAATACGGATACGTTCAAGGTACTTTGTTTCACATTATATTTAATAATATATTTGAACGATACCTTTGCTTTTATAAACTGTACTTTGCAGATACATTCCCTTTAAAGATCAGCAAAGCACAGTGGATAATAATTGGAGGAGTTATTGGAGCAATCTTAGCTGTCATTGCAATTATATTAATCGTAATATCAGTTTACAGGTATCTTTAATTTATATCACATATTTATAACTCTTTGCATGTGTATTTTTAATTCATAACAATTTCAAAATATTTTTTTCTAAATGTATGTACGTCAAAGGGAATTGCTTTGACATAGCTGTATCTTGATTTTACTCTATCAGTTTTAGAGCGGAAAGCTGAAAAACAAACGCAATACTTAGTGCTTGCACGAAGGTATATTCTTCTATGATTTATCCTAATTGACGACTATTACGAAACCTATTTGAATTCAAAAATAGTTTTATTCAACACGTAACAATTTTTGTGTGCTATTTGTTTGGTACATTGGCGTTATAATCTATGAATAAATCATTTGTGTTTGCATAACACATTTCAATATTTACAGCGACGTTAAAAAAAATTGTTTACATAATTTATCGGTAAACAAAAAATCTACACTATTATTTGGATATTTTTTATAGTCAAAAATATTTGAATTATATCAAAGCATTACTTTTCGTCTGGAATTCCGATTTCTATACTTAAATGTATGCTAGTACTTTGTGGCCGAATCTCTTGGACTGATTCCATTATTGTTACTTGAATATAAAAATAAGATGTGGTATGATTGCCAATAAAACAACTCTAAACCAGGGATCAAATGACGTATAAGGTTAGCAACTATAGGTCACCGTACGACATTCAACAATGAGCAAAACCCATACCGCATAGCAAGCTATAAAAGGCTCCAAAATGACAAATGTATTGTTTGAAAAGTGGTTGATTGATAAGTCTTTGCTTAACATACAGTGACAAATTTATTCATATTTTATGCATATTCACGCATTGCTCCCACTCTATACGAGGCATCTGCTTCAGCGCCTCCGTGCGAACTGGACGAGGCTGTGTAATTATACATCTTAAACAGCAAAAGGGACGTTCCACCTTAACTAAGGTTTTCCTGTCGGCAGAAGTAAGTCCAGGGATGACCATATTTCGGTACCCAGGTCAGCATTTGGGTGAAGTGAAGATTGAAGTAAGCCTTGTATAATTTTTAAGAATTTTTTTTTTTTTTTTCCAGATATGTAAAAATAGAATATTATTCCCCAAATTTATATATTGTTTTTTTTCTTAGACGGAATGTCTTAGATTTATAATACAAAGTCTTGATAGATTACAGTTATCTGCATTTGTTGTAATAATCACGTATGCCATTTCAAAATTTTGAAATAATTTGTACTTTTTTAAGTTTGGTATTAGTTTAAAGACATTGAAGTTAAAAAAAAAACATAAATGTATGATTGACAAAATAAAAATAAATTTGATTAGATAATGATAATTTTAAAACTGTCGCAAAATGAAAGTTTCATGTCATTCACCTAAAGCAAATGGGAAAATGTCCCCTTGTCATAGCTGAAATAAAGGGTAGCCTAGGACTACGGTTACTAATGGAGTGTATCAATAGATAAGACAAGATCTCAATTCTACAACTTACATGACAAGAATGAAATTACAAACAGTACATACTTTTTACAATAGAAAACGTGCAAACGGACCTGGTAAACCAATAAGAGGTACACAGTTCTCAAGTGAAGTAACAGAATTGTTTAATCCAGGTAGTTTCGTATACTATACTAGTACTAAAATATGATTATAAATCCTAATCTTAAAAAAATCAAAAAAATTTCAATACCAAACATTGTTTAAGGCTAAGAAATTCCATGCTTAAGAAAAAAAGGATGCTGAAGTTTTGTTTGTTTAATTTGAACAATATAAGTCAACATTTCAATAAGAGAAGAACATATTCACGGTTGTCTCTTAATTTATAATTAAGATATCACAATTCTTTGTTTGTTAGGAAGAACTTTGATCCATTAACTTACTTTATGAAAATTAAAAATACACATATATTATGATAAGCGTTTAGTTCGAAAGATAAGATTTTTTAAAGACTTTAATCTCAGTTTGAATAAAAAATATTCGTATATTTGAATGCCTTACAAAACGTATAGTATATATATATTTAGTCACTTATCTCTGAACAAATGGGACTTTTGTCATCTAAGTTTACACAATAGTTCCCATAGCTTTACAAATATTTCATCTTTGATCATGGTTTTTGGTATTTTGCTCAGGCTACCTACAGTTTTTTTTTATTTCGAATATTTTCATGGGTCATTTGTTTGATTTTTGTTACTCTGTGAAAAAAATCTTCAGACGATTAAAAGTTATAAGCAAATATTGTCGTCGTTTACTTTTCAAAGGTTTTCTTTTTACAGGATATTCCAATGAAACATTTGAAAGTCCACAATACGCACATGTAGAAAAAGAAAATCAAATGTCATTTAAAGGAATCATGGTTGAGTTAGGAAATGTTTTAATGACAGAAAATTTAGATGCTAATGGCACCATACCTGATAATCTTTATCCAAACATAGAGTCAATAGATGCTGAAAATTTATATTCAAATACAGAGGCAGAGAACGTATTTTCAGAATACAATATTGCAGTTGGCAACTTACTGAGCGTTGCAAAAATGAAACGAAAAAATAACGCATTTAAAAAAGAATGTTTTGTACGTGGTTTAGTATTCTATAGTGTGTACTATGTTTGACATACATTTCAAAATTTATATGACTAATTACTAGATAAAGTACAGGAAAATAACATTCATGTATTTGTAACAATAAAACCACTAACAGAATAGGTTGTTTTTCATAAGAGCCTAAACTTCGTCAGCTAACAGAATACTCTTGAATGGATAAAATGAAGCACCAGTAGACGTCTGACACATAGTTGATTGACAACTCAATAATCCATTTACCAATATGTCGCGATTTAATGTTACCCGAATTACAATCGCAAAATCTACAACCGACAAATTGAAAAATAGACGAATACGCAAATTAGTAACACAAAACCATCTAAGAGAGCTTCCAAAATTGATGAAAAAGTACAACATGTAATAATTTTGGTTTGACTTAATGAATAAATCCTTTAAAAGAATGTTAAAAGGGGTGATTACTTAACATAAGCATTGTTATAATTTGAGGGTTTTTTGAAATGACATTGCTGTCAAATATATGATGTTTATAAGAAATTAATGCAAGTTACATTTATCTATTAACTTATATAACATAAATAATATATGTACATCATAAACCATGATATGATAATTCAAAATACAAAAATCATATGAACAATATTTTACACGTAGGAATTGACTAAAGCTCTTAATGTTGTTTTTGTTTTTTTTCTTTTGTTTAACGTACTTAAATAAGGGTTAGTCATCTGAAAACAATTATTTTACCATTACTGATTATTATGTTTTGTAATAATGCAGATGCTACCAATGGGTTTACATTTTCCACATTCAGAGGGTGAAAGAGAAGAAAACATCAAGAAGAACCGATTTCTGACGACATTTCCCTGTAAGCCTCATTCTAAATTTTAAATGACGTAAAAATGAATAATGATAACCTTGATTTTTTCAGGGTGGCTCAGAATATTGCAAAGAATATTTCAGAGTTATATGCATCAGTAAATATACAAAGTCAAGTTTTGCATTCAACTTTAAAAGCATTGTTAAAGAGTTTTAACACTAAAAGAAGCTATGTTTACAGATAATTTGAGTTAAACCAATTCAGTAACTTCAGGATATGTTCTAAATATGTTCTCTTGAATTTATAAGACACTTAACGAGATATTCTAACGTGTTTTGCAAAATGAAGTTAAATTTCGACAAAAACTCAAATGTTTATTTAACTAAGTAAAAGACGGGTAAGCTCAGATACAATATTACCGTACTCAAAAATAGAACTCAATTAACCTCACATCAGTAACATCTTGAGTATACAAACATTCTTTTGGATTTTGCAACATAATATAGATATATGTTCCGATAAGCTGGTGGTTAGCAATGATGGTCATCTCCGATATCCTTTAAGTAATCTGTCAAGAAAACATGACCAAGAAATTTATAGAAATAGGGTAATTTTAGGTGAACGACGAACAACTTAAATAAATATTTTGTTGGAATTTACTCTTCTAATTCTTTAAATGTTTCAGACGCTTGATAATGCATACAAAATTCGAGACTCTTTGTAAATATTTTATTAGAAATTTAAAGCATTCCTTTGAATGTGCTTTCCCCAATTTTAAAACAACGACGGAACAACTCTTTTCTTTGATTTTGATGCACGGATATGGCATTTCCAAGTAAAACATACAAGCAAGCCGATCTGTATAGTTGAACAAATCTGAACTTTTGTGACAATGAGGTTTGGAGACATTGAATATTTCTTGTGTTCGTACAAAAATTTAATTGACCTATAACATATAAGTAGAGGGTGTGAATTATGAAAATCAAGAATATATTCATCGTTATAATCAAAGTGAAACAACTCAAATAAAATAAAATTTTGCAAAAATATATATATTATACTACAAAAGGAGTGGATTACAAGTGATTTAATGACAAAGAAACCCTGTCTTTTTTTTTTTGGTGGGGTTCGTTTTTCTGAGTTTTTTATGTTGTGTTTTGGGGACTGTTGTTTGTCGTTTTCGTTTTTTGCCATGGCGCTGTCAGCTGGTTTTTAATTGATGAGTTTGAATATCCCATTGGTATATTCAGCCTCTCTTTTCCCTTAAGTTGCATCATCGCAACTTAAAGAGATATGGACATTTCCCTTATACTAATGCCATTTTCAAAATGTTTTGCAAATTTTACTTAGCATTACTGTGTTGTATTTCTGAAAATTTTACCAACTTTAAAGTACGTACACTTTGCTCATTTTGATTTTATGAATAGTTGTAATATTATTGTAAAATCTTTAAAATTTGATATTTATAATCTGTAATATCCAAGCTTTTAAATAGGTTATTGGTCTTGTGAATGAAGTAAAATCGGTAATACTTCTATCCACCACATATGCTACAACTTATAAAAAAGGAGTACATTATTGTTGGTAATAAGACTAATATCCCCTTGGACAAGGTTGTAAAAAATACTGACTACCGTACCACCTTTTACGGGCAAACGTACATCTTGAGAAATGAGCAAACTCAATGCCGTACAGTAAGCTTTCAAAATGGCTCCGGAATAACAAAACAAAATGAGAAAAAAAACAAAAAAACTAATGTCTTCATCTTATACCTCTCATTTACGTAGACGACCATTCAAGAGTTAAGCTAGAAGTGTATGATACCAGCACAGACTACATTAATGCCAATTATATAAAGGTAAGTTATCTTTTAACTATCATATAAATATCTCCCTCAATGACATTCATTAAGTTGATATTGAAATGATTAATTTTATATGTTAAATAAATTTAAAATGTCACATGTAAAATTGCTTTTGAATAAATAGAATGTATAAATATTCATGTCGTTTGTTTTTTTCTCAAAAGATGCGGTTAAAATTGAACCCAAACCAGTTTTTCAATTATTCATTACAAATCCTATAGGGAATTGAAATACAATTACTAAGAATTATTTTGTCAAAATTTAGCTTTTTATTTATAGAACTACAGCAAAGACAAGGCATATATTGCAACACAAGGTATACTTTTGATAACTTTGATACCTCAATAAACCCGACAGATATGATACTTGTATTCAATTTTGAAATATCTGTCACTCTAGAATAATGTTCAAAAACTATATGCACTCTCTTCTATTATTAGTTACACAGTATGCTAGCTATAGTGACCTAAAACGATAAATACGGGTCAGTAAATTTCATATGGGGCGAGAGCAATCGAAGCTCGAATTCCGTATGGAATCTACTAACCCGTATATATTGTATTGGGTAATTAGCACACTGTGAAACGAATTTATCGTACCGACTATCTTAATATGGATAATTGAGACGTAGTTGTAAAAATAAATGCAGTCGTTGTTATAGTGACCAAAATGAGCTATTCAAGCAATAGTTTGGTGTCTGGTTGACTATTACAGTGGTCATCAAGTCTTCCAATACTAACCCTACTTGCACTGGTGTATACGAAAACAAATGATAACAATTTAATTTCAAAGAACCTTGATATCACAATTTTTAACAAAAATAAAACAGAACTTTCAATTATTCAGTGTGAAATTTCAGCGTCTCTAAGACATGTTTTTGTCGAAAAGCTTAAAAATTCTAATAATGTGGAAGTATAATCCGAAGAAGCATGTGGGTTCTAATGCATTAATGGTCAAATACTACGTTTGTGTTTTATTCTATATCTATAGGACCTAAGAAAATTACCTTAAGTGACTTTTGGCAAATGATTTGGCAAGAAAATGTGGATACAATTATAATGGTCACAAAACTAGTGGAAGGTGATAAGGTAAGAAAAGTTCGTTATGTTTATAACAGAGTACCATTGTCGAAATTAAGAGCAAAACACATTAAAATGATTTACTGAAAAACAACTCATTCGCTGCTGCTGTTTATCATTTAGATTGTTACTAAGTGAAGGTAATATACCGAAAATAATCTTGCAAACATATGACAAGCTTTTTGATAAACAACCTCTACAAATGTTTTGGTGGTACACTTGGGAGAGTTAATGCAATTGTACATAAATAACTGGAAAAGTTTATGGTCGGTTTCTTTATAAAAAACTAACATTACAACTCTTAACAAACCTTTAGACAACTAAAAAGGAGTGTTCCGAAATAACATGGTTTCTATCCTTCTTATTATAACAGTTTTGTAATACTTGATCACAGCAAATCACACAATGATACTTAATATAGGAAAATTATAGACAGTACACAATGATATCAAATATAGGAATATTATAGACAGTACACAATGATATCAAATATAGGAATATTATAGACAGTACACAATGATATCAAATATAGGAATATTATGGACAGTACGCAATGATATTATATATAGGAATATATTGGGACAGTACACTTTGATATGGAATATAGGAATGTAATGGACGATACGCAATGATACTAAATATAGGAATCTTATGGACAATACGCAATGATATGAAATATAGGAACATAATGAGCAATATACAATGATATCAATTTATAGAAATACTAAAATTATGTATATTATAGTCAAATATAGGAACTTCATGAGAACTTTACCATTAGTAAAAATATTAATTATGTATATTGTATGATATATATTGCATTTTAGAAAAAGTGTGATCAATATTGGCCCGAGTCAACACATAAACAAGTTTTGATTGGTAAATTCACACTCGAAATGTTAGAGGAAAAAGAAAATACAGTATACATTTATCGCTGTATACAATTATCATGTGAACACGTAAGTATTCGTTACCTGTATTAATATGTTTGAGGCCCCTCATGGGGGTGTCCAAGTAATCACATAATCACAAATTGTTTGACAATAAATTCACATAATCATTAATTATTTTGTTAAACAAGATAATCAAATAATCAAAAATACAGTCCTACATTATCAAATAATCAAATAATCATGAAATATTTGGTCTGGTAATCAAATAATCACAATAAAAACAGCCAAGTAATCACATAATCAAAAACCCCATGAGAAGGCTCATGTTTTGATCGGTTTCCTCAGCATTGCTTCGACGCGGAATGACTATTTGTGGATTATTGTCTTTTCTCGTATAATGTAATCCGCAGAAAATGAACAAAAAACTGTGTTTATCATTGTCAGGCCTAACAATTCAGTGTTTGTCGTCTATTGATGTATATCATATTTAGTTTTCGAATATTGTTTTATACATACATTCTCGTTTGAGTTGTTTTACATTTGTCAGTTCAGGGCCTTGTGTAGCTTGGCATGCTGTATGGGTTTTGCTTATTGTTAAAGACCAATAGATGCTACCTTCTACATCATTTTGTCTCTGGTGCAGTGTTGTCTCATTGGCAATCATACCACATATTCTAATTGTTATATTTAAGGTGACTTTAGGGATGATTAGCAATGCTTTACTTGGCTTCTTTTAAAGTAGAACGTTAAAAAATATCGAAGATACCAGGCTCATAAGACTTTTTAGTGCGCACCAATGAAAAACTGTTGGAATGCCAAATCAAATACGATGTATCACAAAATGGCTGAAAATGAAACATTTTGTTGTGTTTGCATTGTGCTACCCAATTACAATTTGCATCATCTCTTGGATATCCCCAGGTATCCCAGTATTTTTCTGAAAAAAAACGAACACATTGAACATCAAACCAAGAAGTATAGATATTCTATTGTGAAGTATCTTTAAAATTCTTTTAACTGAAGATGCAATGTATACATGTATCATATTGCAGTCTAAAATCTGACATCATTTCTTCAAACAGTATTCCTCCTTTGTCCTGTGTGTACTAGTATTCGAAGAGTAACTGTGAATTATATAGTACACACTTCAGATTTGTTTTAAGATACAGAAAACAGAAAATATAATAAACTTATCCAAAATAATTGTAGACCGACAGAACAGTTCATCAATTCCACTTTACACAATGGCCTGATCATGATGTGCCTGACAAAACCCATTTAGTAAATTTCTACCGGAAAGTGAAGTCAAGGCCAACTAATGGATCTGGACCGATGGTAGTTCACTGCAGGTTTGTATGTTTTATTCTGTTAAATAACTATACATTTATTTTTTTCAATGGAATTTTATAATTCTTTATTCAAATTCGAATTAACAGAAATTGTCTTCATTGTCAATTTTTTTTAACATTTTGTTCGTTCTTTTGAATATCTCTTCAGTGCTGGGATTGGCAGAACTGGAACATTCTTAGCACTGGACGCATTATATGAACACGGCAAAACAACTGGGTTTGTTAATATTATGGAATACACACATATGATGAGACAAGACAGAATGAATATGATCCAAACTGTGGTATGTTAAAAACCTTTTAAGGATGTAGTTAGGTGAAATTAACAAAATTTAGAATTTAGAATTGATACTATAAGTCAGAAGAGCATTAGTAAAGGAACAAAATAAGCTAGAAATAATAATAGGTTATGGAACTCCTTTTTGCGATATTTGATTTTTTTAAAATGGCTGGAAAAGGCTGACTCGGACATTTACCTCATATTTAGCATTGGCATTATTTGGGTCTCAAATCGTAAGAAAAAAATCTCGAATCTGCTTAAATTTTGGTAATGACCTTTCTATGAGCTATTGAAGTCTTCTGTGAAAAGAAAAAAGGGTGATATGGGGCAAAATATTTTACCTTGTATCGTAGGAAAAAACCCAAGAAGTCCGAACATCTGACAAAAATTCATGAACCTGACCTAAGTACATCCTTAAGTAAATTACAAAAGAATGTGAATAAGAAAAATCTTATGAATTCCGTTTATATTGTATAACATCTTTTCTTTTTTTCGATGCTAATAATATCTATTATTAATTTCCATTATAATTATTGTTGTTATTAGTTTTTTTCATTATTATTATTCTTTTGCCATGTTTTGTTTTTCATTGGGAAATTGTTGTTTAAACGTCATCAACATAGATCAGAATAGTCGTTTAAGACTGGATTGTTTGATTGATTGTTGGTGTTTTAACGCCACTTTTAAGCGCCACATTTGGGCTATTTCGTGGAGGCCAGTTTTTATTGGTGGAGGAAGCCGGAGTGTCCGGAGAAAACCACCGACCTTCGATAGGAAAACTGACAATCCTAGTCAATTAAGATTGGAGTCGAGTGCACCCGCACGAGCGCGGTTCGAACTCACAACCTCATTGTTGACTGGCTAGTGATTACAGTAGTAGAACTACTTAGACTACTTGGCCACCGAGGCCCCCGCTTAAGATTGGTATCTGTTATGAGTTTATTTAGTAAAAGTACAAAATCTTACTATACAACCATCCACATGAGACAAACTGGCATAGATGTAAGCAATTATGTATCACGGTACGGTCTTGATAATGAGCAAAACCCATACCACATAGCCAACTATACAAGGCCCCGGCATCACAAAACAATTCAAATGAGAAACAAACGACATAAGTTATTTACAAAACAACAAACGCAAATTAAATATGATATACAAAAAAAAAACAAAAAAACAACCACTGATATACAGGACCCTGACTTGGAACAGGCACACACAGAATGTGGTAGAGTTAAAAAAAAATGTTTGCGGGCGTCCAACCATCTCTCCATCCTGGACAATAGTGATACAACATAACACAAGAACAAACAGCAAAAATCAGAAGAATGTTGTAACAGCAATTTTATTTTTATAATTACAGGAACAATATGCGACGGTGTACGATGTTTTAGTAGAGGCTTTCACCGTACCTCAATCAGCTATTCCTAGACAAAATTTCTTGAATATGCTGGATTCAAGACTTATTGAAAGGGAGTATCAAGTTAGTGTTTATGCTTGTAAATTTTGATAACATTGATTCGACTTTCAAGTTTGAATAGATGTTACATGAAAAAACACAAAACTTACCATCAACAAATATATAATAAGGACATATTTTGGATTGTGGCTTTACTTGTTGAAATGAATTAAGATTAACTTTTTGTTGCAATGATTGTGTGTAGAAAGCAAGTAGAGAACTATGCTGTGGGATTTTCCTTTCGGGAGTCTACACTTAATCTAAATTATAACTAAAATACGAAAACAATATTTTTGTTTATTTTTGATATTTTCTGACTTGAATATTTATAGGCTTTCCCCTGGAGGCACTACTTAAAACGGTATTAGATATTATTGTTCTCATGCAGCTGTGTATTGGTCTTCTGTATTACCTACTGTTTGTCTTATAGACCCGTGTTTCACAATACATATTCGATAATTCATTTTATGTAAGGCCGTTTTGGGGTTTAAAAGAAGGATAAACTATTTTCAATGTTTTGCACAATGATAGCAAATAAAATTCTGTTTCAAAAATTATAAAGAAATACATGAATCCCATATATTTTGTTTAAAATAATATGTTGTGCAAAACGAATTTATCTTCTTGGGTACAAATATATCGTCTTCGTGTATCGGGGAACGAAATATAAACAATGAAGATAATTTGGAAGGAAACTTGAGAATATGGAATATATCAAATACATTCAAAGATTTCAAAAACAAAAATTATGCATGGGTCACTGAACGTACTAAACTCTATTCAACCGAACACTTTTCGGTCCATCGTCTTTACAATTTTTATGTTTTCATTTAATGTGTCGGTATCTAATAAAATAATGTTTTAAGATTTGCAAACTTTAAGACATAACTGAGACTTCTCTCATTCGTATATTTTAACTTGTTACTTCACAAAAGTTATAAATTTAGTCATGTTTAAAATCTGTAATTTGGCCCTAGGTGATTTATTCTGTACTAGCAGTATGTATTATAATTCGGGAAACAGAATCAAACTTCATTCTAACAAGGATTTACACATTTTGATTGAAATACCTGAAAATACCTAACATTAAATATCAACTTTCTTTATTTTGTGCAAGAGATTGACGTATTTTTTTCTACAAAACACAAATATCAACATCTATCAGTAATGTATATTTGTTTAAATCTGTAAACAAAAATCGTTTACCTTACATAATATGAAAAAATAACTACGCTTAGAGCCAAATATTTCTTGGGAACGACGACTTACACTTTTTAAATTAAATTTGGAACACAAATACATTTAACTGTCATTCAGAAAGATTTATGAAAACAATGATATATTCAGTTCCTCTCCATATAAAATCATTTGTTGATACAATTACTCTTGGTAAAATCTCAACTCATGAATATATCTTTCTTTTTTATTTCAGAAATTACAGGACTTAAAACCTACAATTGAGGCTAATAAATTCCAAGCTGGCAAACGAAAGGAAAATGTTTCAAAAAATGCTGTTCAAAATATTTTACCACGTGAGTAAGAGTTTTTTTCAAACACTATTTAAATGTTTTACTTCTTACAATCCGGCTAAATGTAGATTGATGATGTTTGCATAGTTACACTATGTCACTCTATCACCAATTTTAAAGGAGTAGGGGCATTAAAGCCCGGTTTTGTCCCAAGAATATAAAATGTTTGACAACTATTTCAAATTGGCACATAATGTTTGCATATGCATAGAGTCGAGAAATATAAATGAAAAACATAAGATTTTTTATCTGATGACGTCACGATTACGTCATGATATGTACAATTTTCACGAATACGATGAAAAGTACAGAATTTATACAGTTTTCCATCGTTATTTCAATTGTGGAAATATCGTGCGCAGCCAGGAAACAAAAAAATTATTTAAGAGTACCTTTATTATAACTATTAACACAATCTCACAAAATATAAAGTTGTTTCTTGAGTGCGCAAATACTTTGCCAATCTAAAATATATTTAAAAGTTGATAAAAAAACAAGGAAAATCAAGAAATTTTACAGAATATACAAATTTTGTCATGGTTTGTTGCCATGTTAACTCATTAAATGTGAAATTTGTTTTGATTTTCTGAACACCTTGTACCTTAGTGTAGTTAGGACAAATTTAAGAATATGTATAATAGTTTTTAAATTTGCCATAATATTTGGGCCAAAAAAGGGCCTTATTGCCCCTTCACTCTGATGTAACCAATTTGCTGATTCGTTTTCACGGTTTAATTAGACGAAATTTTACCAATCGACTATAGTTTTAAAGAGAGGCGAAGGATACCAAAGGGACATTCAAACTCATAAGTCGAAAATAAAATGACAACGCCATTGCTAAAAAGAAAAAAGAAAAAAGACAAACTAACAACAGTACACAATACACAAAATAGAAAACTAAAGACTGAGCAACACGAACCCCACCAAAAACTGGGGGTGATATCAGGTGCTCCGGCCTGCTCTTCATGTGGCACCCATCGTGTTGCTTATGTTAGTACAAACCCGGTGATAAATCTAATTCGGTAGTTAACATTCGAGGAAAAGGGGACGGGATTATAGTTACGACAATTGGAACATATCCGTTGTCATTTGTGAAACGAATATTCCAAAACGGTCAACCAACTCGTGATTCTAAAATTATTCTAAAATAATTGGTAAAACTTAAGTAGAAGAGCTAAATTTTGCGTCGTATAAATTTATTCAGATAAGATAATATAGGGAGTTTTACTCATAAAACTCGATTAATTATATTAAGATATTGTTACTTTATTTCAAACTGACAGTTTCTGCTGATTAATTAAATCTTGGAACCTGGTGTAATCAAGGTTAGGAAATTGAAAACTAAAAAGATATAGAAGATACCAAGCGGGTAATCAAAATGCATGTCTTATAAAACCATGGCCCTCCCAAAAAAACGACAAAAAAACAAACGACAATAACAAAACAATACACATAAAACTAAAGATTAATTACCAAAACATGGGGGTGAACTGCCCCAAGTGTTCCTGAAGGTCAGCATTGTCTTGTGTGTGAAGTGGCAGCATTCTGGAACATTGATTTTATTTTTTCGGTTAAAATCTATACTCATCTGCAAAGAAATGAGCAATCACAAAAAAGATTTCTAAACCTGAAAGTCAACTATAGGGATTTCGTTACCACAAATTACTTAAAACCTTTACTTTATTCTTCCGTAGATACAAAGATTTGGTTTGCAAGTTTGGCTATACCGGTAGAGATCTAGAATTTATTTCAAACGGAATAGCACATCCTCATTTTTACGGTGATGTTGTTTACCGATCTCGGAAATTTAGATACGATCAGGGTAAAACTTTAGCCCTTTTCAACTGATTTTTATAGCTTGTTCATATGTTGTACTGTTTCACCACTTTCCCATGTTAGGGGGGGGGGTTGAGAGCCCGCTAACATATTTAACCATGTTTTCTGCTCTGTATCGATCTGATGAGTTAAGCCTTTTTCAACTGATTTTTATAGTTTGTTCTTATGTTGTGCTGTAACACCACTGTCCCAGGTCATGTTTAACCCCACCGCATTCTTTATATGCCTGTCCCAAGTCAGGAGCCTGTAGTTTAGTGGTTGTCGTCGGTTCTTGTCTGTCATATATTTTTCGTAAATTGTTTTATTATAAATTATGCCGTTAGTTTTTATGTTGGGGCCTTTTATAGCCGACTATACGGTATGGGTTTTTTTCATTGTAGAAGGCCGTACGGTTGCCTATAATTTCTTACATCCACTTTATGTGAACTTTGGTGGATAGTTGTCTCATTGGCAATAATATCACATCTCCTTATTTTCATATACACTATAATTCTGTAAAATATTGGTAAGTTATTTAGCAAATATTATACCAATTGACGTAGAGTAATGTTGAACTACTATGGGGTTTTTATTTACCAAGTCCTCCTATACATTTCTTGCACGGTTGGGAAATTGATCTAATTCCACTAATATTTTAAACTTGATATTAGAGTTGTAAAATAGACTCTTGCATGGTAATTCACACGAAGGAAGTTTTATTAATAAAAACAACGTTACGGAGAAGAATTCTTATTTTATGTCTCTTGTATGATTCCAATGCAACAATAATGATATGGCTGTAAGCAACTATAGGTCCCCGTACGGCCTTTGACAATAAGGAAAACCCATGATATCTAAGTATTTTACGAAAGAACAACACTGTTATTTGATTGTTTTTATTTTGTATAATACTCCATCTCCTTTTATCCACATTAATAAACACGTGTTTGCTATTTTCCATAGATGATGATTACAGGCCGTACCTTATGTCGTATGGGAGATCTAGTAATGATTATATAAATGCTGTGAAGATACCAGTAAGTTTAAGATGCACGTTAAAGTTAATACCATTGTTACTACAGAATTATGCTTTTGTCAAATAACGAAGCACTTAAATATTTGTGGAAAGAATTATGGGCTACTACATTGTTGAAACATATTGCCATTACAGTGTGTTCATAGACTACCTATTTTCTTGCTATCCAACTGACGTATATTAGCTCAGTGAACTAATCCTGTAGTTGCTAACTTTTACGTCATTTGGTCTCTGGTGAAGAGTTGTCTCATTGGCAAGCATACTACATCTTCTAATTTTTATATCATAATGTGTTCATTTATACAAACAAAAACGATGAATTGCAAATATTTTATTTAAGAATGTTCGCTACTCTTTTTATTGATTTTTTGTCAGATATTCAGAATCCTCTAGTTTTATCCATGTAGTGCCCGCTAACCCCTATTTTTCTTTTCATATCTTAATTACATATAGTTTAAAAAGCCATCTTTGAAAATCCTTGTTTTTTTCATAAAAATGTACCAATGTTAAATTTAAGAAATTATAGAGAGAATCATTTCCCGCCAATTTTTCAATTGCTTATATCTCAAAAACAAGGACAATGACCTTCCACTTTTCTGCCTTTTAAGTTCAGTTATTTATATACTATCAATTTATATCTTTTAAAAAGCTTGTTATTTTGAAACAGAGGAGTGAGCATCATTAAACACAGCATACACATACATACACATACGATTGCAATCATGTTATATTACAGTTTATCTTGGCCAAAGCATATTTTCAATATTCATTTACTATCTAACGGTGATTACATTAACGATATCTTGGATACCTGATTTTCAGTGATAAAACTTTATAAATATATGCGTTCCAAGCACTTTTCTGGATTTGCCTTCATCGGGAACGCTCTAAGCTGAATATTTGAAAGCCAAGGATTATAAGAACCGAAACAATTGAAGAACTATTTGACCAAAAGGACCTATAAATAATAGCTAAATCCTTCTAAGGCAACTTACCTGAGGGAGTTTAAACCTTAGTTTCTTAATAATTTAAACATTTATTATCGGACAATTTTATAAAGGTTTCACGGCGGGTAAGGTTGTCCTGCGAGAGAATGTTCTGTGCTGGTGATTTGGCCCTGACTGGTGCTGGTGATCATTGAAAATATGTAAACAAAGACGAAAATGATTATTTTTGACATTTTCTCGAATAAAAAATGGAAGGAAACAGTTGATATGTTTTAATTTTGTTTCTTATGGGTTCAAAGGCAAACAATTAAAAATGTGACCCTCTAAACAGTTTCAGTAAGCGTAACAAAAAAGTGCTCATTTTTAGAAAATCTAGAACTGAAATAATAAAACAAAAATGCTCCTGGAGTCCGCTTTCTATACCCAAATCCATACGACAAAATTTGTGAAAAACCCGTGCAATTTATCAAAATTGTGCATTTTCTCAGTTTAGATATGTCCTGATTCTGTGCTGGTGGGTCCTGGCATTGTGCTGGTGGGTCCTGATACGGTGCTGGTGATTTTTGGTAAAAAGGTCATCCTATTTGAAACAAACGTTACATAATCAATAAAATTGGGCAGATAATTGTATTCAATCGGATTTGTGACTCCTATATTTACTTTTGTGCATCGATTTGGCTGTTTAATACGCGTTTTCAACTAATCGTAACTTATAATATAGAAAGGCAACATCTTCCGTCCAATATCAGATGAAAATATATTTAATTAGAATAGTTTTTATTTAAGATATTAAATGCCCTTAAATTTATGATTCTCAACATAATATGCTAACTAAAACAGTTTTAAAAGGTGCTTACGGTAAAGCTACATTTATAACGATTGGTTTATTTCAGTTGAATATACGAGGTCAGATGATCTAACTACTGGTGCCTCTAATTTCTTCCTTAATATAATATACATTGTCTCCAATACATTTCGACTGGATAAAAAAACGACCTAGACTTGCTTTTCATACATAACTGATAACAACTTACTAGAATGGAACAAGATGAGAACAATAATAAGTCAAAGTATGACCTTCAACAAAGAGCAAAAACCATAACGAATACTAGCTATAAAAATGAAAACGATTAAAAAATGAAGACCCGCGGCCTGATTTAAAATACAAATTTGAACAAAAAACAAATATGACAGCTAAATAGCAACTAGCGTCTGCGACAATCACTGGTTTTGGGCACTCGTGACAGGGCTTAACATGTTTGTTTGCGCTTCACACCCCTCCCCACCTCCAACCACCAAACCCCTCCCCCTTTCAACTTCATTGGTACAGTGGTTTAACAACACAACACTTAGCACACACAATAATAACATAAAGACACAAATTATTGAACCAAGAGTACTCGCAGCTACTGAAAGCTAGTTCAAAGCCACATTTTCGACTAATAGATAAACCATGTTCTCTTGAGATTAAAATATCAATCGGTACACATCAAACAGATTTCGCAAAACTTAAGTTCACATTCTAATTTTTGGTTTAGCAAAACTTTGAAACTGTGCAGCGAATCTTGTGCTCACAACAGTTATTGTCATAAATATGTATATATCAGACATTATAAAGTCATGGTGAAGATACTAAATAGTATTTTACATTTCAATTTATTTATCATAAAGGGATGGAGATTTCATGGAGGTAAACATTGGACTAGAAGAAATTTGTAGTATTTTTTTTGGCGAAAGACTTTACATCTTCTTTACATTAAATTCTAAAAGTTTTCCTGTTGCAGTAAGTGGTAAAATCTTCAACAAAATCTCAATAACTTTATTGAAATGAATAAAGGTTTAAACTCAAATTTTCATGGACTTTGATCCATTTTTTAGCTTCCACCCTGACGAGCCATGGGAGCTGTTGGTATCCTGTTGCTCCCAAACCCCGTAAACTTTCACATTCCCATCTTCTTTTCTGGAATATTTTACCCAATTCATACTTGACTGGATAATTATCCTAGTAACCGGTGTTACCAATGTATCGAACATTTTTAGTTAAAAAATTCCATAATAATATATTCATTTTGTGTGTCAATTTGTTTAGACAAAACAAAACTGCAAAAAAATCGAATACAAGAGAGTAAATTTTTACTTAGAATGTCATAATTATCTGCCAATTTCTAGATCTATGCATAGTATTTATTTCAGATGTCATGGATTTCACACCCTGCTACCCTTCATATATGCATATACATATATAAATAAACAAACTAAAGGCTGCAACTGTTATTTTTGCATTTAAAATGATTCATGGCAACAAGAATATTTGTGTTGAATGGAAACTGTGTTGGTCAAAATCTTGTATTGCTGATAAATTTTCGGTAAATGTTCTCAATTTTCTGAAAAGTGCAAGGTAGAAAGACATTGGCCTGTTGAATTTTTTTACTCGGTAAGTTTTACTCTAACTGCTTGAACTTTTATGATATAAACCAAAAACTGCAGTTCTACAACTCGAATATATTCTAACAAACAGTGGTCATGGTTGTTGATGAATATTGTTTTTCAAAGATTCCCTCAGGAAAATTCATTTGGTAACATTTGGTCCTGTAATTTCAGAGAAGATTTTTTTTAAGTACGGATAATCAATAGCTCACACGGTCCCTTGATCCAGGTGCGCTTGGAGAGAAACAGGTTGATATCCAAAAAATTGAACTCTTTATTAGAGAATTTTGTATTTTGGATTGTTTAAAACTGTTTTTATGGCCTTTAAACGTTAAATGTAGGTGTATAATTTAAGATGTTTTGCATCTTATTTACTTGTTTATACTCAATTGGTAGTATGAAGCTACGAGATATTTGTAAATTTTAAATTAAAGACACATTAAACAAACAGCCGATTTCGGTAGGTGCAAATACTTCCGGATCTTTAAGATGCATAAGCATAAATTCAACTGAAACTAAAAATACACGAAAAGATAAAATATTGATCTTGAAAAACATCTATTTGCATCTCTGCCCCCGGCAACAGTACATTTTTTTTTGGGGGGGGGGGGGGGGGGGTCTAAAAATTGGCAATTATCTTATCGTTAAGAGGCAGTCGAGTACACATTTTACGTTCAGGCGTGTTTGATGTGATTGTTATGTCCTGAAAGCGTATAATATAAAAAAATGTTTGATATATCTGGCTTTAGATTCGATATTAAGGCTACATGTTGATATAATAACATTGAGAATTCACAGTGTCAAAAAATGAAATAAATGGGTGAAGTGAAATACCTTTGTAATGAGTCATTACTACATAGAAGGTGTGTTTGAAACACAAAGCTTCGTGCTATTACAAATATTTAACTAAAAGTGTATTTCTTAGTGGTATTTTTTTTCGTTCACTCATTTTTCACTCACTTTCAATTAAAAATTAGGTATATTTTATTTTTACACATGAAATATATTTAAAAAAAAAAGAAAAGTAGGATACATCGTTCACTAACTCCACCTTAACTTTTTATCAAAAGCCCTTGACAACAGACTTTACTTTTGGATCTTAAAAATGCATAATTGAAAAATTTTTTTATGTTATCTAGGTCAATTAGTCTTCATTCCTTGACAAATTCTAGTCTGCCCTTCCATGAAATGTTTAAATAATTTTTTTTAGTGTTTTTTTTTAACTTTTTAACTTTCCAAAATCCCCCCTGTCAACAGATCAGACAATAATTTTATTTTGACAAAAGGCTTAAAGGTACAGCAAATGAGGCTTAATAGCTAATAGATACATTTTTCTTTTGAAGTACAACTATGATATCTTACGGGAACCCCCCTCCCTCCTCTTCGAAAATGTTTTCAGGGTAAAATTATCATCTGCAGTAATAAAATCGTTCTTGATCATCTGCATCAAATCATTTTTTATCAGCAATTTTTGAATTTCAAAACTATTCCAAGCTTAGCAACTTTCACCGTGACAGGGTGAGGACACATGATTCTTACGCGCAGAAACAAGGCTGAGATTCATTTGGTTGAATAAAAAAAAAAGTATCTAGAGTATCGCACAAAATTGTCAGAGAAACAATATCCAGGATGATTAGGCTACACCTAATTTATTATCTAAACTCATGATAGAAGTGTTCAGCCTGATAGTTTGATGTGATCAACTTAGTAAAAAAAGGTTCTTTATTCTATATTTATGCTCACCATTTTTATGCAAAACCTTTTACATTTTGATTTTTCGCGTCATTGTTGGAGGTCGTACGGTGACGTATAGTTGTTAACACCTACGTCATTTGGTTTCTGATGGAAATTTGTCTATTTGCAAGCATACCACATAAGTATTGGATATTTTACACCGTATTTTGATGGTCATTTTCTTATCTCGAAAGGGGGCCAAGAGGGGTTCCATTAACATGTCAAATTTTTTTTATCTTGCTCAAAACAGATAACAGTAAATTTAAAATACTGAATACCGATAACGGCAATTTAAATTATCTTAAATGAGAAAAACAGAAGACCGTGCATTTAAAAATTTAAAAAAAAACCAGTTAACAGGGGTAATTTTTTCATAATAACAGTTAACAGAAATGTAAATTTTAAGAAAACAGATAACATCTATTTTGGTCAATAACAGTTAACAAAAGTTTACAAATGCCTAAAACACCTTAACAGAAAAGATCTTGCCCCCCTCTCAAAAATTAAATTAAAACAAAATAGACTCAATTTTGCTCATATGAAATATCCACCAAATATATGCTAGGTATATTTTCTATCAATTACACAAGTTTTCTGCATAAATTATCTTGAATATTTGCAACTTTTAACTAAAATGTAAATGCACAGAACCAGGACCGTTTTTCTAATCACCAGCACGTCATCAGGACAATTTCGTTTGGCGAATTTGCACGACTTTTGCAATAAACAAATGGTTGTAATATACCTCGCATGGTACTTAGTACGTATCAGAGAAAAATTAAGCAACAGAACGGTTGTTTTATTGCCGTTCTGATACAATGTAAACAAACCCACCAGCACAGAATCAGGACCCACTAGCACCAGTCAGGACCGAATCACCAGCACAGAACGTTCTCTCGCAGGACAACCTTACCCACCGTGGGTTTGTTATAAATCATGTCAGTATCGAAGTACCGACTACTAGTCTGTTGATACCCTTGGGGACTGATAGTCCACCCGCAGCGGTATCGACCCAGGACTTTAAAGATTAAAACAACATTTTATATTTGTTTTGCGTCTGAAGCGCCTTTCTTGGTTTACCTTCATCGGGAACGTCCAAAGCCGAATATTTGAAAGCCAAGGATGTATAATCCGAAAAGTTGAAGAGCTATATGACAAAAAAAAGGACATCAACATAATAACCAAATCTTCTAAGTTAAACTTTGCTTGAGATAGTTGAAACCTTAGTTTCTTAATATTTGGTAAATTTATTAAGGGATAATGTAAGAGAGACCTGTTATAATCATGTCCGTACCGAAGTACCGACTATTGAGCTGATGATACCCTCGGGCACTGGTGGATGTAAAAAATGGTATATAAGTATCTAAATGTAACCTATCATCACGTATGTAGTTGTCCTTATGTGCCAAATGCTCTCTTCAAATTAAAGTTCAACTAATAGTACAAGTTCTCAGATCGTTAAGCCCACAAGACCAGAGCGAGCCATTCCTGTAAATCTTTGTGTACGTATTGTCTGTCTATCATCTGTACATTTAGAATCGAAATTTCTTGGACAACGAAACATGAGAAATTCATTCTTACTAGGTTTTGTTTGATAATGTTTTCGCCGAATGACGATCAAACGAACGAATTTGCTTACATTCACGTCACTTTGACTCGGATGGATAGTTGTCTCATTGCCAAACATACTCCATCTCCTTATCTTTACAAAGAGGTCATAACTTTCAATAAACTATAATAGATAAATTCCGATTTTTGTGAACTGTGCAAATTATAAAAGAGACATGAGGATCCGTTCTGCAAATCAATATTGACGACCTGCTTTACTATTTTCAATACATAATTAAAAATATAATTGATTAGGCCTATTTGAACTAGATTGAAAGCAGAATTGGCGTACAGTCGTTAACCCAAGGAATTAATAGTTTTAAAGTTCTATGGGTGTTGTATGCTTAGAAAGTTGGATATCAAATTTTCTTGAGATACTACCGACAAAAATCAATTATTGCTACTATCGCGGAATATTAATTTTACATAAGATCCTATAGGATGATATAATTTATATTGAATAAAATATATTCAAAGAAACAGCAACATCTGCATTACTTTTCAGATTTGAGAGAACATAATTATGTTTACATTAATGTGTTTCTTTATCGGCCTGCTTCAGTATTATTCATTATTGCAAGACGGGCGATGCATATTCCTTCCTGCCTCTAGTTGGAAACATCATACAGCCTTCAACCATTACCTTTTTACTGTACACTTTAACATCATAAAATGATATTTCAATACGACAGTTTAATTTTTTTCCAGAGTTTTAGAGAGGGAAAAAATATTCTTGTTACACAGTATCCATTACAAAGTACTATCGGTGATTTGTGGTCCCTGATCTATGACAATGATTGCAGAACCATGGTTATTTTAGAAAAATTAGATGAGGTAAACTATAAAGACTTAAAATATTAAATTAAGCACAATTGACTTTTACATAACCTGTAAACTTTTATGAATACAATAATGTACTTAAATTCCCTTCAGTATAAAATAAGTGCATGTCGAATCTGCTGTAAGATAGATTTCAGATGAAAGATGTTTTTCATTTTTTGCCATGAGATTTGCCCATGTAATTTCGTAAAAATGGAAATTATATTCAAGTTTTTTTGTACATTATACATGTTTTTGAGGAAGAGGGGATTTTTTCCCACATTCTGCAAACGAATTACAATGTTAAAACTAATATATAGTAACTTTAGGCAATCTTAATTTAAAAATATTTCTTCAACAAAGTGAGTGTTTTTTTTTTTATTGAATTGACCATGCAAGATTTGGAATGAATTTTAGGTGAAATAAATTCATTGCATTAATCTCCATTGATATAGACACCGTTAATGCTATTTATCAAAAGATCTGATACCTTATCACAAGGTGATAGTAAATTAGAAAATTATTTCAACCTCAAGACTGACTTCGTAAAGGAGGCTTATTTATCAATTAAAGATTTTAATATAAGAAGAGCTATATGTAAATCGAGAATAAGTGCACATGATCTTAAAATTGAGAAAGATAGATATAGTAAAAAATACATAGAGAGAAGTCAGCGTCTATGTCATCACTGCCTATCACATGGATCAAATTCTATTGAAGATGAGACCCATTTCACAGTAAGTTGTCCTTTATATAACGAACAGAGAACATTATTATGGGATAAAGTAAACAGTTTTTGTAATAATTTTAAAGAATTACCCAAGGATAAAAAATATTTCTGGCTGTTCACAAATGAGCATTTACCAACTCTTATGTGCCTAGGCAATTATATAATTAAGTGTTTAGAAATAAGATCCAGGTGGATACAAAATATATAAAATAATATTTAATTATTATGAAATTATTGTAATAGTTATGTAAGACACATGATGTGTTAGGCTCTGATCCTGTCCATAATATGATAGTATTATATTAGGATCTAGTTTTTCTTTTTTCCAATCATATTGTGCTTAATATTGTTGTAAATGATGCCCTTTAAGGGTTCTTGATTAGATTAATAAAATTCTTATACTTTATTTGCACTTCTGGTTTCCATCGAATACCTTCCATCACTTGTGTGTGTCTGGTTTTTTAATCCTTCAGTATATTACGAAATACTATCATATTTCTGTTCATGAATAAATCTATTTTCACTTGCCTGTCTCAATTCTAGAACATACATTCTTGTTATGAAGCTACTTCAACGACCGTTTAACCAAATAAACTATCTGTGTCCAAGAATTGTGACAAACTAATTATAAAATGAATCTTTATGGGCAATGAACAGCATGTATTACATGATGTAACACATGGATAGACAGCAGAGAACAATAGTAAAATTCTATAACAAATGTAAAGTTATGAAAGTGTATGAAATCTCATGCTGTTTTATATAATTTCATAATTTGATAGTGAAAGACTTGCTAGACGCTTAAAGTATATACAACATTTTATTATTATTAGGCCAAAACCTATAACTTATAAACCTTTAGGCAAATTTGTGTTCGCCCATATCTATAAGCAAGAAACTAGAAAAAAATAAACTTGTCTTCAATAAAATACATTAAACAGCATAAGAATAAACGATTGTCTCTCGGAATATTATGGTAACGACAAATTTTAACATATAACTGCAATGTTCCACCGTGTTGACTTTAGTGACAGACAAACATTAGCGTTAAAATTAAGATAAGATATTTTTCAAAGCAATAAGTAAATTTAAATCTACTATAAATACAAGGTTTATTACATTCTTGAGCAGTTGTTGACCATTTCTGCAAGTATTGAAGTATACTGCGAGTTTAAATAGCATCCATACAGATTGTGCTAGCATCTTAATCCTACATAATTTAACCGAAGATCAAATAAAGATCACGACATTCTTAAATACAAAAATAAGAAAATGTTGTATGATTGCCAATGAGACAACTATCTACCAAAGTTCAAATGAAGTGGATGTAAGCAATTATAGGCAACCATACGGCCTACACGAATGAGAAAAATCTATACATTATAGTCGGCTATAAAAGGCACCGGCATGCAAAATATGAAACAATTCAATTGAGAAAACTACCGGCCTAATTTATAACAAAACAATATACGAAAAACAAATATGACAGACATGAACCAACGACAACCACTGAACTACAGGCACATAAAAAATGTGGCGGGGTTAAACATGTTTGTGAGCGCTCAACCAACCCCCTAACCTGGGACAGTGGAGGCCAGTTTACATAACCATTGTTAGCATATTTATATAATTGTCTATAAACATCGTATACAACCTTTGTTTTTTTATAACACTATGTTTCAAGTATTTCAAAACTTTAAGTTTTCTGGTAATAAATAGAGGGAAAGGTTTGCCATATAGAAAACATTCAGGTACGTTTTTACCTTATTTTAATACAAATCTACAAAAGCATTTATGAATGAGTTCCAAATTTCTAGCACGATGGAAACCCCATATTTATATATATATGCATAGCATAAGACAGAACCATCAATACTCACAAGAGATTACACGACTCTAGATCCTTGCTGAGCATACACTTTGTGAGTATGCATGAACTTTCCATTTGTAGTGTAAAAATAAACCAAGGTACACATATGTATTAACAACTTTTAGTATTTTGTTTTCTAAAGTAATCCACCAAACCGCAAACTTGAACGCACAGATAAGTTAATTAACCTTAATTAATTACTACTCAAACTTCATATTATTTATTTTGTCTTTTCTAGGATGTAATACCGAGCAATACTTACCACAGATTCAGCAACGATAATTTCATCATAAGCAGAAATTCGTCAAATGTATTACAAGATAAATTAACAATTTCACTAAGACATAAGGTAGATTTAAACTATTTTTTATTGTTTTGATATTAATGTTATTAAATTGAGTGAGCTTCCAGTAGATTTCGAGGAATGTATCGGTTGTTTGAAATAATTGATACAAATGAAGATGTCAAATATTTTGAACAGAAAGGTAAAATACAGGCGTCATTTCGAATTTTAGATCGTCATGATATGCATGAAATATTTGCTACTGACCTTAAAGCAATTGGCAACCAAATACGAACATTTTAAAAGTCTGGGAACAGTTTGACATGTTTTATGTAAGTTGTATTTGTGTCTTTTGAGTTAAGCCAATTTTTGCAACTGAATTTTACAGTTTGTTCTTATGTTGTGCTGTTACACCATTATCCAAGGTAAGGGGAGAGCTGAATGCTCACAAACATGTTTAACCCCGCCACATTCTTTATGTCCCTTTCAATGGTAAGAAGCCTGTCACTCAGTGGTTGTCGTTGGTTCATGTCTGTCATATTTGTTTTTCGTAAATTGTTTGTTATAAATTATGATGTTAGTTTTCTCGTTTGAATTGTTTAACTTTTTATGTCGAGCCTTGTATAGCCGAATATACAGTATGGGGTTTTCTCATTGTTGAAGGCCGTATGGTTGCCTGTTATTACATCCACTTCATTTGAACTTTGGTGAATAGTTGTCTCTTTGGCAATCATACCACACACCCTTATTTTCATATGGTCATTGGTTGTCTTTATTTATATCTTAAAGTTGTAATTATTTTATTTTTTTTTGTATTTCGTTAAACTTGGTGTTCATGAAATCTTTTTTATCGTCTCTGTTAAGTTTAGCGACAACGGTTTAAGAGCTGTTTTAGAGCCTAACACAGTATATAACACCTGTCGATTGTTGGAATTAATACATTGATCTCTTGATGTCATTAGGTCATTTATGTCGTTGTGTTGCACTCTTTTTGATGAATACTCAAAACAAGATATCACCTTCCTACCAACAAAGCTGGCCGCCATAATGGAACATTGATTAATGGGATAAATGCAAGTCTTGTATAAATAAATGAATATTGTTATATATGAGACAATCTTTGGTTTAATTTTGTTAAAATAAGGTAGAAAACATTGCTGATATATCATTGTCTTGCAAGACAACAATTTGACCTGATTTGAGTTAATATTCATGAAACCAATAAGTTGACCCTTGGTAGGAGATGGTTTGCGCATGTGATCAACAAGTCCAGTGATTAAAAATAAATTTCAGCAAAAAATTGAAACTAGGGAAGGAAGACCGATTTCTGGTGATTGGTTCGGTCTGCAAATAATCAGTCTTATGCAGATTATGAGTTTGTGATTTATACTTAATTTATGTTTTTCTCTATGCAATACGATCACACAGAACTAAAAACAAATCGACATTAAACTGTTGCAATGGCTGACCTGTCTACCTATTATAGGCTTATCTTTCTGTTTATATTTATAATAATAACGGGTCAATTGACCATCGACAGTTTGCATGGGTCATGTCGATGGTTAATCAGATGGCGCCCAGTCAGAAATACACTCTAAACACTAAATGGTGATAATTTATAACAATTTGATACATAATTTTGTATTGTTTTCTATGGAACTTTTGTATTTCTGAAGTACGTTTAAGTATATATTAAATCAAATTTCAACGGTGAGCGTGAATTTTATATCCTCTTTAAAAGCAGTTTTATTATTGTTGAGTTTTTGTTGTAATGTTGAACGCTATCATAAATAAAGACAAACCTTAACAGCAAAATGATCGGTTCCACAAGATTGGCAAATGAGTCAACATGATAGAATAGACAGTCGACTACTTATTAAAGTTATTGCCCGTTGATGATGATTTTACCCTTTCTTCGTTCTGGGTAAAATTTATGGTATATAGAGAGAAATTGATCAGCACAATAAGATATCCAAATAAGTAAAAACAACTTATCAAAGATACAAGGCTTATAATTCTGTACGACAGTCGCACGTTTCCTTTACAAAAGACCCATCAGTTACAGTCGTTAAAATAAATTTAAAGGCCAATCAAGTACGAGTAAAGAGCATTAAGGACCCAAAATTCAGAATGGTTTTGTCAAATACAGCTAAGGTAATATATTCCTGGTGTAGAAAATTCTTAGCATTTCGTACACTTCAAAGATTTGTAAACAGTTAATTTATAAATTATAATCATACCGAAACACAAGTGTACTGGACTCAAATGTTAAAATGATCGAATTCACCAGTGTACTACTTATAGGAGTAATTCCTCTGCAAAACAATTTTAATCATGTTTGCGTTTTTTTTTGAAAACTAATAGTATATTTATAAACTTTAAACACCAGTACAATCCTCAGCAAGATATTTTAGATCTACAAATAATTCAAATGGCAGAAGCCGTCAGGCGACTCATTATCGGAGTTATTACCTTTACATGATCAGTTGTCGAGATCACCCCCAGTTTTTGGTGGGGTTCGTGTTGCTTAGACTTTAGTTTTCTATGTTGTGTCATCTGTACTTTTGTTTGTCTGTTTGTCTTTTTATTTTGGCCATGGCGTTGTCAGTTTGTTTTCAATCTATGAGTTTAAATGTCCCTCTGGTATCTTTCGTCCCTCTTTTGTTACTAATTTAAATGTTTTACCCAATATCTTAAAGAATATCATCGATAGACTAAAACTTAAAATATCAAAAATAATCAGAAACAAAAGATCTACAAATAGTCTATATTACGAATATCCACTCCTTACACGAGTTGTAGTTCCCTAATTCACAAAAGTATCCCGTTCTTTATGCATTTGTATAATCAGCCTTCGAGTGGGCATTGTGATTTCCAGTCTGTGCTTCCGTCTATCCGTCGGTCCGTTCTTACCGTAAGGTTAAAAATATGGTTTAATGAAGATGACTTTGAAGTTGTGATGACATCAATCCGAAACTTAGTATACATATATACAATTTGTTGTGAAATGTCAAATGAGTGTTTTGATCAAGATATCTGGATTCACTGAACAAGGAAATGGCATAGTGCGAGCAGGGTATGATGTCATATGGATACATTTAAATTTTGCCTATTGTGTCGAAAATTATAATGGATAGACAAAAACGCTGTCCAGCAAAAACGATCAGAACGACAAAATTTTGGCAAACAGATTCTCTATTCAAATCAAATATTATTGTTGCAATGTTTCAATTTTATGCAAACATTGTCAGGTGAACGATACATGCTTCTTGTAGCCTACAGTTTCCTCTGAATGTTTATTTTAAAACCGCATATCTATTACATTAAAGGATTGTACCACTAATATATATATATTAACAATTTCACGGCACTTTAAATACGATACGATAGCATTTAGCTGAGTTTTTGCATGGTATGTATATATTTCAAAATATGTTGTAGAACAAGAAAGAAGAAAGACCCATAACTGTTTTTGTTTATAACGATTGGGGAGATAATAACATGATGCCAAACTCAACAAAGACTATGGCTGATTTCATGGAAAAGGTCTCCAGGACTACACGTGAAGATAATGAATCCATAGTCGTCATTTGCAGGTTTGTAATACAATTATTTTTGCAAAAAATTCCGCTCAAGTCGGTGCTAGGGGTCGTCTTAAACTTGCAGTGAGGTGAGAGTATTTTTTCTCCGTGTTGAAGGCCTCACTGTGACTTTGAGATGAAGAACAGAAATAAAAGAGCTGTTCCTTTGTTTTTTGTGTGTTTTTTTTTTTGCTGTGCATGTACTGATTTTTTTGTCATGGATGGATACCCCATATCCTTTGTTTTTCTATAATATATTATAAATATGAATCTATACATATCAAAGTCACTTATAAATTCGAATACTATTTTGAAATTGGAATCGGTAAGAATACAAACAAACTAATGTAACTGAATAAACTATATAAACAAAGAAATAAGTGCAAGGTCAATACCAATATCGACAAAATCTCGGTATATTCTAAGGAGTAGTACGTTTTCATTTCAAAATGTTTACCCTAGACAAGTGTTTTTTAAACGTTGTGCAACTGAATTGGAAAAAAGTTAAGATTATTTTATTAGAATAGCTTACGAAGCCTGCGTTTGGAAGATTGAAGTATCATTTAAAATATTTTGTTTAAATGTTAATCGTTTCATCGAATATATCTTGAACATTTTATAATATTCTGCAGAAATTTACCGTTCAGTAATAAGCCCATCGATATTTTTTATATCATTATGAGCCTCAGTGTTCTTTGAATGTATTGGCCATGCAAATATGTAAAATGCCTCAAAATCGCACACACTTAGATTTGAAATCATTAATTTAACCCCCATGCATCTACACTTCAATAAAGATAACACAGTCATTGTGAATGTGCCACATTTGCTAATTAGTAATGATGTTTAGTATTGAAGTTTATTGTCATCTTCCAAAGATTTCTAATCAGTAAACATTTTCAACAGAACAAAATATACCCCTTTTACATTGCTCCTCACACATTGATTGGCCTTGATTCTAATATGACGACCTATATATCGTTAACCAGTTTATTCACTGTATATCTACTTTAAGCGCGCAAAATTGGCTGTTCCGTGTTACGCCCATCTTATTTATACCACCAGGTAAACTCAATTTATGACAGTAAAACCCACGCTTTACGTAGGCCAAACTTCAAATGCAATAGGGTTATCTCTATTCAAATGCAAAATAAACAAATTAGTCCATTTTAGTTATTATTTCGATGTAAAATGTCATAAAACGAAAATTGCGCGAAATGGGCAAATAAACAAGATGACGTCATATATATGCTCCCGGCGTAAAATATAAACACCGGGCGTTTTCATGCTTCTTGTATGCCTCAGAATGTAAATAAAATTATAAAAAAAAAAGAACATTTTAAGCTGAAAAATGTGAGTTTTCTTATTTATCATTAAATAATATAATATAATAGACCACTTTCGAGTTCGTTGCATTTCCGTCAAAAACTTTGGTCTTAGTGAACATTGTTTTTGGCCTTTAACTAGCTTTAAGTAACTGCTAGTACTCTCACATCGTACTTCCGTGTTAATTTGACCTGTTGACACAACTTGTAATGCATGTACCACCTATTGAGTATGACGATAAATTTTCACTTCTGTACTCGTACTCTGAACAACAATTTATTTTTTAAATGTTTACTTCCGTATCCCTAACAACAAAATTATTATATCTAAATTTACCTGTGTACGTTGTTTTATTTAACGCCATTTTGTCCCAGGTAAGAGTTGTCTTATTGACACTCTTCCTACATCTTTTTTGTTACTACCTGTAACGTCTTTGTTACATAGGCACGTACGTTTTAATATTGGATTTATATTGTGTCATAGATCAAACTTATTCGTTCAGTGTATGTTTACTTGTTTTTGTTTAAATGTCTTTTTGATCGAGTTGAGCCATTTCAATTGATATTTTATAATGTGTTTTTTTATGTTGTAATGTTACACTACTGTCTCAGGTTAGGGTGAGGGTTGGCGCCTGTTAAAATGTTTAAACCCGCTGCATTTGTATGCACCTGTCCTAAGTTAGGAGCCTGTTGTTCAGTGGTTGTCGTTTGTTGGTGTGGTATATAAATGTTTCTCGTTTCTCGTTTTTAATATAGATTAGACCGTTGGTTTTCCTGTTTGAATTGTTTTACACTAGTAATTTTGGGGCCCTTTATAGCTTGCTTTTCTGTGTTTGCCAAGGCTCCGTGTTGAAGGCAGTACTTTGACCTACAACTTTTTATACATTGTGACTTGGATGGAGAGTTGTCTCATTGGCACTCATACCACATCTTCTTATTTTTATTATTCGTGCGTTTAGGGGCATCGTCACTTCCTTCCCATGTCGAGCGAGCGTTTGAAAAAATATGATGCTATATTGCACGAATTATTCGGCAAATTCAATTCTGATAATCAGCACTGCTGTCATTAGGGAATTATGATTAAGTACCTACGGCACAAACATTATTTGTAGTTTACCCTTCATAATGACGATCACGAAGACGCGTAATGAACTTTAATAGTGCAGGGATACAGGCGGTCCCCTCTATCTGGTAAATGACGTCATAAAGGCGCGCATAATTGACGAACTTTTCCGGTGAAGGACATAACTAAAAAAACTGGTCTATTCAAATTATTATATGGGGGTAAAACCGAACAGCCAAAACAGCATCGTATGTATAGGGCTTTCACGGTTGACAAAATTACCGTGTTTGTCCTCATAGAATCGAAATAATTGATTGCAGCCGTAGATTTGTTTTCATTTAACCATGGGTTGGGCATTTATATTCGTATTTTACCACTCGCTGTCGCTCGGGATAAAATAATCAAATATAAATGCCCAACCCATGGTCAAATGAAAACAAATCTACGGCTGCCATGAATTATTTCTTAATTGACATTGCCTTCATTCTACTTACATAATTTGAGTGAAAATAAAGCACACACTAATTTTAAAAGGCTTTTGTGATTTTATCATAGCTCTGTACATGTTGATTTCATGATGTTCAAGAGTAAGAAATTCGGATCACGAAGGAATTTTTTACACGTTCGCTAGATGAACGTGTAACAGTTTTATGACGTACCCTAGAATAACACTAACTATTCGTTAACGTACCCTAGAGCAACACGTTATACTTTGTATGCGTACGCTAGAGCAACTCGTTGCAACTAACACGAGAATATGGTTCGAGTTCCTGTAGGGATATGTATCTATTAAAAACATGTCACCCCTTTTACTTACTAATGGAATTATCTGCATCAGCAACCTTGAATTGTCAAATCTAATTTTCATTACAAAAGCATGGAATATCGTTTATTCTGATTAAAGAACGTGTACAACTTTAAAAAAAACTCATCAAAGACACCACGCTGATATTTTGTATGCCAGACGCGCATTCCGTCTACAAAAAACCTAATCAGTGTCGCTTGAATAAAAAATCATCCCGCTTAAATGCCAAATCAAGTACAAAGCATTAAAGACAAAATATTCCGAAAGTTTTTGCAAACTATCGGTAATGTAATCTTTCTTAGGGTAAACAATCCATAGGATTTCGAACAATTGAAAGTTTTGTTACTTTATTATGACAATATCAATGATATTTCAAGGCAACACAGAAATGCTAGAAGTTCTGACTACTGGTATTACACTAGTTGCAACGAACATGAAAGAAATGTTACGAGTTGTTTTAAGGGAACGTGAAATAACTGCTACGTGTTGTTCTAGGGTTATGTGAATTGACTGTTATGCATTGTTCTAGGGTACGTGGACTGACTTGCTTGTTGCTCTTAGTTACTTAAACTAACTGTTACGTGTTGCTTTAGGGTATGCAAAGCAGCAGCAACGTATTGCTTTAGCAAACGGTTCAAAATTGCATCGTGAACCGAATTGTCCTTCATACCAGAGCTATGGATGTTCGGTCAGGACAGAGAAAAACAGAACAAATAGAATATATATTTAAGTCTGAAGTAATTTTTGGGAGCTTTTGATAGATAAACCGATTATTCTCTCCATCACCACGTTGTTATTTTTTTGAAATACGTGCATGGCTGAAATAATTAAAATTAGCATAATGAACCATATTTTATTTAGGGACGGTTGTACGAGATGTGGCATATTTGTAACTTTGGACTTAGTTTTAGAGAAAATGGAAATAGATGAAGAAATTGACATCTTTCAAGTCGCAAGACAAATTCAAACTCGACGGCCTCAATTTTTGTCCAGTATTGTAAGTTTAAAAAAAAACGAAACTATCATAAGTAGGAGTAACTTCCGATCGTTTATGCATCTAACAGATAAAGTAAGGTATATGTAGTTCTATAATTGCCGGTGGTTTTTTGTTTGTTTGTATAAAAATCGAAAAAAATATATGGTACTCGTACTTGGACCAATTTAGATAATATAAAGTAAAAAGAAAGAAACGTCTGAAACTCACTACATACCCTTAAACGAGGATCGTAAACTCGAACCATACGAAGAACACAAGGCGGTCCCGTTTAGTCGGATGTGAATGTGCCTGAAAAAAATGTCAAAATAAAACCGAACAAAATCCGAGGTTAATTGATCATTATGAACATTTCGCATATCTGATGTTATATTTTTCAGGATTCATAAAAAGAAAATGAAACTATTAGCTTTCTTTCATTGGATTAGGTTTTTACTTCCGTGTCAATGTGATATAGGTTACAATAATCCATTAGATTTTATTGGCGCAGCCATTTTATGAAGATAACATGGTATTCAGAATTAAGAGTATGGCTAATCCTGATTAGTCGATATGTGCACCCGTTATTTTTTATTATTAGAGACTTCGTGCAATCTGCATTATACCAAAGGCAAAATAATATATTTTCCTTAGCCCTAACGAAACTGAGATGTCTTTTCAACGCTAGGATGAGCCACGTATTTTTAAGTGCAAAATTGATAGGCAAGGGAGACAAGTACAAATTACGTTAAGAAAAGCAACGGGAACCTTCATTTTTTGACAAAAAATACTATTTTTCTTTAATTCTAGCAAGGTTTCGTTAAAAAAATCAACTTTCAAAAGTCTGTATTCATTGTCGCATATGGGGAAATTAATTGTTTATTGCAATCTATAACTAATTACATTAGAAAAAGATAAACAAATAATATAAAAAAAACAGAAAAATGAATAATAACTTGATTCTATAAACCTTATCTGCTGTCTATTTTAGGAGCAATTTGAGTTTTGTTATTGTGCTCTAAAGGAATTACTTAACAGTGAGTCAGTGTATGCAAACTCAGGAAACCTGCTGTCGGTTTACAGATAAGAAGTTTGTTGACGATAATAGTGATTTGAAAAAAAAAAAATTGACACATTTAAAATTATTACTCTGATTTACTTTTGCTGCATTTACTAGTATACTATTTCACCGCTTGACATTTACTGCTTTGCAATTATATTTAAAGAATCTTTTTATCATCTTATTAATGTTCTCACATTGAGTATTTAACACCATTGATTAAACAAGAGCATCAAAACCCATGTCACTTGCAACCAAACATCACTCAAATATATGTTTTCTGTTTTGACTCATTTTGCTCTTTAAACTGCTGTTAGGTACTAATTTTTTCGACATTGTTTTTTTAGGTTCCCCGAAACAAAATTTCGGAGCATACATTAATTGCTTGCACCGTCCTTCCGTGTGTTCTAAACATATGGTTTCCTTATGGTAACTTGACTATCCCTTGCTTGATCAGAATGAATTTATACAGATGAAAGTGTAAGGCAAGGGGAAGAAGACTATTGATTTTAAGGGTCAATATATCAGGCCAAGGTTACAGTTATCAAAAATAGAAGCAAATTGGTAATGTTTCAGGATTGTAACTCGAGTCTCCCGTGCTTGATTGGGATGCATCTTATACAGATTGAGGAAAAAAGGAAAGGATAATAACTCTATTGATTTTAGGTCAACAGGTCACTCTTGCTTAAAGTTTGACTTTTTTTAAAGTTGGTTTCAAGATGGTACATTTATCTCACTATTAATAGTTACACATTTATACAGGTGAAAAATAAGCAATGTTTTATCCCTCTAAACACTAGAATATTGAACCCTTGAAATAAAATGTTTTCTCTCAATGATTGTGCTGTTCGAGAAGCATCAGTTTGCAATAACTGCTTTTAATTTGTATTTTTTTTATATTAAACTTTTGTTTATGATATTTAATATGTCATAAATGGGAATTTATTGATCAATGTAAAAAAAAAACCGGTTTACTTATTTGTAAGCGAAATGATTGGGTCTTCTTGTATCTAAAAAGAATGCTAATTGATGTACGTCCAAATACCAGTGAAAGAGTTCGAAAATTGAGAATTCATCAATAAATTAATGCATTTTCATCTTGTATCTTCGTTCTTATTTTTCCATTCTCTTTTATTTTATTAGCTATTAGTTCAATTATTGGTCTCTTGATCGGTAAATAACAAAGGATGTATCCACTAAATTCATAACTCAACTTCAGTAAACTTCAGATTCCATTGGCAAACTTTTTATATACAGTCTTAATTTCTTTTCCATTATTGATATAATACGGTACAATGTCTACGCATGCACTACACCTTTTATATTATAGTGCTGTCCAACATTCTAGATATTCTTACTGTAACTGTTGCTTTTATCAATATGTTATGGATAGATTTTCGCCTAAAATATTTCAATAAATTAATGTATCAGGCATTTTCGTCTTGTATTTTCGTTCTTATATTCCATTCGATTCTTTTATTAACGATTAGTTCCATTATTGGTCTCTCGATCTGTAAAAAGCCAAGGATACACCCACAAAATGTATATCTCAACTTCAGTGAACTTCAGATTCCATTGTCAAACTTTGTATATACTGTTTGTCATTTCTTTTCCATAATTAATATAATACGGTAAATTGTCTACTCATGCACTACACCTTTCATATAAAATCACCATATATGCCGGGATTAGAGTGCTGTAAGCCAGGCGCGCGTTTCGGCTACAAAAGACTCACCAGTGACGCCCAAATCAAAACTGTTTAAAAAAGATCAAATAAAGTATGAAGTTGAAGAAGAACATTTAGGACACAAACTTTCGAAGGGTTTTGTCAAATACAGCTAAGATAAAATATTTCTGAGGAAGAAAATTCTTAGTATTTCGGAGAACTTCTCAGTTTTGTAAACAGTTTATTTATAATTGAATACCAATGTAAAGGGTAGAGGTCAAATATTTTATACTATTTCAAGAGGAAAGATGCTTATATTGTATGTGTTCTAAAAGAAAAGTTTTAGCTTCCACATCTTATTCACACCACCCCTAAAGTAGCTAGTTTCACAGTAGTTCTGAAGGTCAGGCTTTGATTGCTGATAAAATAAAAGTTAATAAAGTTGAAAAAGATTTCGTGGAGTTTTTGGCAGACCCAGCACTATGATGTCGTTGGTAAGAACACTTATGTGATTTTGGTATCCAATACAGTGAAAGAAGAACCGGTTCTTCATCATTAGTTGAAATTCCAAAGGAAGATTGTACGGACCTATGCTTGTTCAGAATTCCTCTGTGGTAAGTGCCGTGGAATTATATGTTTCCAAAGGAATTGTAAATACCTGATTCCATTTCCTAGCAGTTTATGTAATAAGATTTACAAACAAAAACGATGTTATAAGATGCTTTTACAGCAACTCCCTCGATAAACAATGAACACAAAACAAAATGATTTGAAAGTATATTTCAAAAAGCATGATTTGAATAGGGGATGGTGTGCTCAGTCTTTATTTTCTATGTCGTGTTTTGTTGATTTGTTTTTCCATTCGTTGTATTTCGTTTTTTTGCAATCGTTAGTTTTTCTTCGATATAAATTTTGAATGCCCCTTTATCTGTTGCATCTTTTTAACCTTTTTTTATTATATGATTGCAGTTTTGAAAAGTAATTCTTATATACTTTGGTTACCGACGTTAACAATCTACATAAGAGTTTCTTTTCTATTGTTTCTCTTCACCAGTTTACACACTTCTGCCTTTACGCATTTAATTTGTTTTAAACTTATAAGTACCTCGCACATTTGCAGGTGAAACATCGGATTTTATTTTGATGACTACCATACCTTTTACTATCAAAGAAACTGGTTCCACTTATCATTACTACGAAAAGCCTGGTTCATACAAATATATTTTTTACAATGTTGATCGGAAGGGAGTCTTCCAAATCTTATTACTTTCTATAAAAGAGAGCCGAAAGATACAAAAGGGACATTCAAACACATTTGTAAAATAAAATGGCAATGAAATGGCAAGAAAAGTAAAAACGACCAAAAGACAAACAACATTATAAAAAAACAACATAGAAAACCAAAGACTGAGCACAAAGAACCCCACCAAAAACCCGGGGGGGGGGGGGGGATCTCATGTGCTCCGGAAGGGTTAGCAGATCCTGCTCCACATGTATTACACCCGTCGTGTTACTCCTATAAAATAAGTGATTAGGCATTACGCAATGAAGGATTGGTAATTGACTCTTATCTAACCCGAAGACATCACCACATTCATTAACCATTTGTCATGTAAATTTTCAAACACTGTAACCTGACCGGAAGTTTAACATTAAGAGGATAGACAAGACTGTTACTGGTATAGACATTACAAACATTCAAAATATGGGAGATGTATACTCCATATGCACGTGTTGTTACAATGTTGCTACGTAGAAATGGAAAGTCTCACATTTGGGTAGCTGAAATCATCTCTATTGTCGTAAAGTTTTGTTCTCAACCGACCCTCATTGTCATTTTCTATATTTAAGTCAAGATATGAGGCAGACTTATTTCAATTTCGATGGGATAGATGCACTCAACATAGTCAGTAAACTTTAAATAATTTAGTGAGAGGACATCATCTGTATAGCGGAACGAAAAGTTAAAGGATATTGCTAGCTTCTTTTCATTCTTCCTAAGAATAATATTTGTATATATTCATGTGCTGTGAGTTAAAAAACATTACAAAATCAAAGTATTTGAAAGTACTCGTCAGCAATTGAAAGCTAGTACAGATCATTATATAACTATTTGTTATACAGGTTCGCTATTATGAACTATTGAATGCCAATGTTAAAATTACAAAATGTACTAATTATGTCTGACTTCATAATATCAGTAAGTAGGTAATTATAATTATAAATAATGAATAATTTTTATTGATTTTGTGTCTTGGTTAGTTCAGTACGGTTCATCCCACTGTTTTTTCCTTCATTACTGAGGTTTACGTAATAAGTTTTTATTTCTTCAAATGTTATATCTTTTCTACCTTGAATTTATATGCATTTGTTATCTCAAAGAGCTTTGGTATGCATTCATCATTTATTGCTTACCATATATCACTGAAATAAATTTGCAGACAAAACCAGTATGTGTTAAATTTGATGTATACGTTAGTTATATGTGTTGTGTTTGTTGATATGACACAAAGTTAAAGACTTTACGCATCCACCGCACACAATACTCTATTATATACCATTCATTTTTTTCTATTTTGCCGGGTCGTCAAATGGTCGTATAGCACAATTTTTTTAAACTAGTTTTAAGGGCAATAAACAAACCAAAATTGTTCAATAAATAAATAAAATTACATTATTTGGCTCTGAAAAAAAAAGAATAAAAAACAAAAAACAAATCAGCAAACATTTGAACCTAATAAAAGATGGTTCTAAATATTTCTACCAAAGAAGATAAAATATTATAAAATTGGAATACTAATGATAATAATTCATTCATTTAACGCCACGGGGTATTTGCCTTATTTTCATAATTAATGTACACTTCAATGGAAACTGCAATTGTTCGAATCCAAAATACAGGGATGATTTTTTTGTTCCTATCTTTAAATAAATATATTTATTTTTGTCAACATTTGTTTGAATAAACAAGCTATCAGTTTCACAGATGACGACCAATATGTTCCAAAAGAGAGACGATAGATAGCAAAGGGACATTCAAATACATAATTCGAAAATAAATTGAAAACGCCATGGCAAAAAAAAGAACAAAAAGAACAAAACACAACATAGAAAAAAAAACGACTGAGCAACCGGAACCCCACCAAACTTCGGGGGTGATCACAGGTGCTTCGGACGGGTAAGCAGATTCTGTTCCACATTAGGCACTAGTCGTGTTGCTAATGTAAGCACAAACCCAGTGATAAGTCTAATTCGTTACGTCACATTTGGGGGAAAGGGGGATTGGATTACGACGATAGGAGCATATCCGTCGTCATCTCTGAAACAGATATTCCACAACGATCAACCAACTCGTGATGGTGTCCGTTAAATTTTCGAAGGGATAATTTTAACTTCTCCACTTGGAACTATTGGTTTGATAGTTTCCTTGTGAGCATCAACCCTCTATCAAGGAAATCATGATAGGAAACGCAAACCCTGGAATATCGTATCAACTGGGATATTATACTCCATATGCAAGCCAGCATTTTGCTACATAGAAATGGAAAGTGCACTATTGGGAAGCTGAAACAATTTCTTTTGTCATAATGTCTTAAAGGTGTTATTCTCGACCGGCCTTCAATGTCAATTTCTATATGTAAGTCAAGATATGAGGCAGAATTAACTGTATCTGTTATATCCTTTATTACAAGTTCGTTGGGATAGATGCGTTTAACATAGTCACCAAACTTTGAATTATTTGGTGAGAGGACATTATTTTAAAGCGGAACGTGAAGTTAAAGGATAATTCTAGCTTCTTTTCATTCTTTCGAAGAAGCTCCTGTATGAAGTCAGCCTCATATGAATAAAGAAACAAGTCGACAAGAAGCGGTTGGTTCCCATTGGAATGCCGAATCCTAATTGTCGTTACCACAATCCTGTCCTCTCCTCGAATGTGACCAACCGAATTAGACTTATCACCGTGTTTGTACATGAGAAACATATGGTGCCATATGTGGAGCAAGATCTGCTTACCTTCCGGAGGACTTGAGATCACCCGCGGTTTGTTGGTGGAGTCCGTGTTGCTCATTCGTTAGTTTTCTGTGTTGTGTTTTGTTTACTGTTATTTGTCGTTTGATCGTTTTTTCTTTTCTTGCCATGGCATTGTCAGTATGTTGTCGACTTATGAGTTTGAATATCTCTTTAGTAGCTTTCGCCTTTCTTTTTTTAATGATAAAATTATGATAATGAGACGTGCTATGATTTTCCTTGAGACAAACATCCAACAGATGTCCCAGAACGATGATGTAAACAACTATAAGTCCCCATACGACCTACAACAATGAGCAAAATCCATACCGTATAGTAAGCTATTAAAAGCCTCAATATGACAAGATGTGGAACACTTCAAAGTATTTAGGCTCAAAACAATAAACAATAAACAAATATGGCAGACAGCAATCAAACACAACCACTCAATTACGGGTTATTGACTTTGGAGAGACACATAAGGAATGTGGCGGGATTAATCATGTTAGTGTGCGCTCAACCCTTCCTCTAACTTGGGACAGTGGTAACAGCACAACATATGAACAAACTGTAAAAATCAGATAATAAAGATTTGGCTTATCGAATCAGCACAACGCACAACAACAAAAACCCACACAAAAACAAAGTACCGATCTAAGAGTACTCAAATTTACTGCATAAAATTGAGAATGGAAATGGGAAATGTGTTAACGAGACAAAAACTAGACCAAAAGGCAGAAAACAGCCCAAGGCCACCAATG